TAAATTCCATTTATAAGAAAAAGAAAATTTCAAACAAATTTGCCACACGTATATATTTTTGGATTTTTCAAAAAAAAATTTACTCATCGCGTAACAAGTATATTCCCACCCTCGAGTCCCGAAAGCCTTTTCCACCACTCGATCGACTTAACGATCCATGCGGATTACGTATACAGGTAGCGGAGCGTAAAGTGCAGTTTTCATGTATGCTGCAAGCGACTACTTTACGAAGAAGAATAGACGGCAGGTACAATTTACGATAGTCGAACGTTATAATAGGGACCTAGTTTTGGGAAGATCCGTTTGTCGTTTTAAAATCAGAAAAAGCACATTTGCCAGATACGAAAGTTTCAAGATCCCTTTTTTTTTTTTCTTTTTTTTTCGTGAAAACTTCCTTCCGCGTGGGTAAACAAAAACATTTGTTTTCAGCGAAATCAACAAAAACATTAATTTCCCACGTTATCAAAGGTTCAGTCAATACGAAATAGGAGGATGGTTCTCGTGCGGTAATTGCATTGTAATGAAAATCTACGTTAGTTGGTAATCATTCACTTTCTTTCGGGACGTTGACGTAGGGACGGATTCAACTTACAACCCTTGCAAATTAGACGCGTCAGACGCAACAGGGTCCGTGAGACAATTCGTCCAGCTCCACCCATTGCTCAAAGGGGCATTCACTACACGTTCCTCGGCACTCTTAATGAATTCTTTAAATTAATTGCGTGTCTAACAGAGGCGTCGGATGCTCCGACTGTGTTAAGAGCAAAAGAGGGTTGGAGGGTCCATGGTACGAGTGTAACAGGGATGCCAATAAAGATCCGTGTAATTTTCCCAAAATTGAAGCAATATACGAGAATCGTGACGCTGACAAGAGATTAATCTCGTTACTTGAGAAAAATTGCCAAAACTATACGTCCTGCAAATCAGAATTTTTATTCGCCGGTACAATAAAAACAAAAAGCCAAGGCACTAGGGATAACGAGTCTCCGCGAGTTACGGATAATAATTTTTTTCCCCCGTCGTTAATAGGATTATGTACAGCCGACAAAAAAAATTCAATTGAACCCCTCCCAATCCGGAAGCTTATCGCAAATCTGGTAAATACGGAATTCAATTGCAAACTGGTAACGTAAAATGAATAAACGCAATTCAGTTGCGAATACCTGCACAAATTGAGTAGTCAGTTTTCACTAAGAGATAAAAAATTTTTTTTTTAAAGTCAATCCTGACACTTAAAAAATCATCGAGTTTGTCTAAAAGTCAATGTTAAGTAATGCGAACAATGATTTTACTGGCAAATTTAAAAAAAAAAAAATTTTTTCTTACTGTTTGCAAAAAAAATTAAAATTGCACGTTCAATAGATGAAACGACGCGACAGCGGTTTCTGTCCGCAGAAACTTTATTGAAGCTTGCATAATAACAGAATGACAGAGTAACGACAATAGTCCGACTTACATACGTGTAACGTTCATTACGCGCCAGACAATCGGGGACTTCACGCGGTTTATTAAAAATCATATATCCGCTCCAGTAGATTGTACCACACGTCATGCATGATAGGTGATGGATGTTGGGCGACATTATACATACATACGTATATAAACACATATGACACAATGAATACGCGGCCATTGTTGCTTAAGACACATGATTACCTATAAGACGCACCAGCTGCGTTCTCAGTTCGCCATAAGAAAAGCTCAAGGGGACAGTTCAAAGATGCCTCAAGATCAATCGGAAGCTGCAGTCTTGGCTTGCAGCTTAGAAGTGACGTAATTAAATAAAATTAACCAAAAACAATCGTCCTCCCTCTGTACCTCGAGTAACGTCGATTAATCGAAATCGAAAAAAAAAAAAAAAATCGATCGATCAATGACGTAAGCAGAGACTCGTTAAAGTGTCCCCAATTAAGAGAGAGAGTCGAAAGTCCATGCTTTACGACTGGACTAAATAAGTTTCCCTGTCAAAGGCAGTCCGGCGCGTGGACGAGCCTCCCACTAAACAGGGCTAGGGGTAAACAGCCGTAATTCTACAAGAGACATTCCCCCGTAAGTATGCAATGAGAACTTAGGTTTCCTCGAGCCACCCTCCTCGCAGTCGGGAATACCTTGAATCAGTGCGAAGTCTCTCTAGTATCCGCATATTTCGAATTTGCCGCGCATATATTTCTTTTTTTCTTTCAAGTCACCAAAAATACATCTACGTACATGTTGAGTGGGAGAGGAGTAAAAAAATCATACGGGTCAATGACGAAAAAGTTCAACAGAGGTCACTGCGTGAACGCGCGTTATTCAACGCTCGCGTCGATTACAACGTGTTACGTTACAATTATTGTCCCGAGGATTTATGAGATTCGTAACGAGGAGGTGCAGGTGAGCCTTGTTCACCGTGCGGCAGCCAGAATGGTACTGAGCCACGTCCTTCCTCTACGTCCACCCCCCATGCTGCTCCCCCACCCGGTTCCTTCCTTCGACTCCCTCATCAAACGCGCATCCACCCACGCAACTGTTGCTCCCCCTTTTCGCCCCGGTAGCCCTTACACACACCTCGGACACTCCTCGCTACAAATATCCTAGTTATTCTCCGAGTCTCTTTCTCTCTCACTCTGCTTCGGTACTGGCGGCCCCTTTACCAATCTTACCATTTTCACAGCGGCTAACGCGTTAGTCTTGCCGGATGATTAGCCTCTCAAACCCTCGACGGTGTCCCGAACGATTGGTCCAGGGACTCGGGAAATAAATGTCCCCCGCACCAAAAGTTTCCAGACGTATTTACAAGGCGTGCCTGGAGACTCCAAATTATGCCTGTCCGTCTGCTCGAATATCTTGATACGAATTGGCCTTCTGAGGTACTCGGGAATTAAACTTGCTGTCCCGCCGGTACTTCGTTATTGCTGGTGCAGAATCACCGAGTACCGGGTCTCTTCGAATGGCAAATAAAAATTCGAAAGGTGGTAAACGCGTACGAAAAAAAATTTTTTTTCATCAATTTTCTTATCTTCGTACCAGACGAATAATCTTTCGAAACAGGCCCTTTTAGGCCGTGTTTTATGATACTGTTGACTCGTCAATCTGAAAGGCGGTTTAGCTTTACGCGACGGATCGTGTTTCTAGATGTATTCCTTAAGCTCTTACCGCTACCGCGGGATGATGAATCGATCAGCATCCCTTTTAGACTCGATATACACGTCGACTCCGTGACACAGAAAACTATCTCCAAGCTGATGCGTACCCGCCTTTATCTTTCCAGGCGTGATCGAGACCCAGTAACACGTGTATTACCATACGATTTTTATATTTCCTAACACGGTAGGGAATCATGGAAAATCATTTTTTTTTTTTTTTTTTTTTTTTGATATCCTTGTAATTTACATTGCAATCCGCTATAAGAGAGCTAACGCGTTTTCCCGTAAAATATCAAGATAATAATATAATGACGTGACGTCAGTAAAATTTACAAGATACATCTGCACGGTACAACTTGATCCTGTAATTATGAACTTTTAGTAAATGAGAGTCGGTGCTCGTCGCCAGACGAGGTATCTTTGAACTAGTAGAAGTATTGCTGAAAACTTCAAAGATGCAGTCGTTACGTTGGCTGCCAGAGCCAAGAAAGTTCACTCTGGAGTGTGAAAGCCCGAAACGTTCAGCCAGAGGAAGGAAGGGAAGAACAGAGAGAAAGAATGAAAATGGACTACGTGCCCTCGGGAGGTTTTAGTACTTCCCGCTAAGGAAGCTATAGCTCTTGACAATCCTACTATATATATCTGTATATACCTAGTTCCTACTGACACTCTCTTAGCCAACGCTCGATTTTACCTCCACCGAAGAAACTTATAATCTTTAAGAACACCGACCAACAATCTACCGTTTCTACAGCACGGACCCCGCGTATGAACCTGACGTAGAAGCAGCAATGGTTGTTCCAATATTTACGCCAGACATTATAGTACAGGTATATATGTCTTTTCGTTTAATAGTAGAAAAAAAGTTCAAAGGGTACCTGAGATTAGATTGTAAAGAAATCTGGTAATATTTTATGGTCATGGCGGTAAACATGGGCGGACGTATTACGAGCCAAAAATTTCGTGAATGCACGTAATTTCGGCAAATTTCTACAAAAGCAGAAAATTTGATCCGGCAAAAGAATTATTTTCGTAAGTAATATTTACGTCGTTATTCAAAAATTAAATAAATTATTTTCTTACGGCGAAAGATTTTAAAATTCAAATTACATATGCATAGGTATAATCAAGTGGAAATACGGAATATAAGTACCAACCTAGTAAAAACCGTCCAATCATTCGCGGCAGATACGAATATAACAGGGACGCAGAAGTTTCCGCCAGATAGTGAAAAGTCGGCTTTGAGGTTAGGAATTCATTGGAATTTATATTCCAAGCGTGCAAGAAGTCACGCGATAACGGTGAACGTACGCGATATCCGTATATCGTTGATATTCAGTGGTTTCCCTCGTTTTCGTTATATAAAGAGCAGCGAACTTCCTGGGAGCGGAGTTAAATTGTCTGAGGGAAAAAAAAAAAAGTAAAATAAAAAATGTTACGTCAAATTCTGTTTGTCCTGCTGATCCACGCGCTGCTTCGCGCCGTCGTAGCGAAGAACGCGACGCCAGCTGATAACTCGAGGAATTTGATATTCACCACGGAGGACGCACTACCGGCCAATGAATTGGTAATTTAATCGGCTTATAACTTCGGCAAGTCTCGATTGGGTCATCCAAACAATTGGATTCTCCATCCTACGTATACGGAGGCGCGAGTAAAGCGAAGCGATGTGAAAAAGAAGAAAATCACGGATTTCGCGAGACGATATTAAATTTCAAACTTTCCCGCCCTTCGAGATCCTCGCTAAGAAACTCGAAAACGAGACGACGTATTTTCATTCACGTCGCGAGAAACACAATTACGGCTGAGCTCCTACGAATAATATTGATCGTACGAACTTGACTAATTAAACGTTCCTTTTTACTTTGTTTCAAGTCAAGATTAACGGAGGCCGATGCGGAAACGCGATTCATCGGGGATCTCGTGATTGGCCAGAGACAACAGGAAGAAACGCTTTTCTGGAGATCATTGGAAATTGACAATCCTACCAACGACGTTTACGGTCAAGAAATCGCCCTTGCCGTTACGAACGGTGAAAAAAAATTTTCAAAAAAAAAAAAAATTTTCTTTCCCCAAAACTGTTAAAATTTTTAATTGTATTTTTACAGGTGTCATTCACTACATCAGTGTTATCAATGATCGCGGCAGTTATGCAGTCGCCTGCGATCGACCCTACGCGCTTGGAAGTTCTAGAAGCAGTTTCAATATTCGCGTAACGCCAAATAGTCACAGTTACGTAACAGTAGTCGTGGGAGCACATTAAATACACGCACGATAACTTATACGTTCTCCAATTTGTCGAAAGTTAATAACCATATGTGTACAAGTGTCATTACAAATTTTATTACCTTACCGTACACACGGATTGTTCGAAACGGCTTACCTGAAAAAAGAAAAAGAAAATGAAAATGTTTTGAGAAAACGAAAATTTTATGGAAAATAGAAAAAAAAATAAATCAATATAAAAGACGTCATTAGAGACGTAAATAAAAAATAATACCCCCCCTCCAACACCTCATGATCATCTCATCCAGTCCCCATCACTGTTACAGCATCCCCATCTCCCGTTCTCTCGATCTCATATTCGTCCCAGAAAAAGATAATCACTCTCGGCATAAAGTTAGTATTTTCTCTTTAGGATGCTCTGTTATCTTTAGTACAAGATCGTCAGAGTTTATTATCCCGATATCGAAAATTTCTCGAAATTATCAGTTATCGCTTTTCCGCGATGTCGATGATTTTCGATAAGATTCGTGGAATCAAATTTTACGAAAAAATTTACAAGACGCAGATCATGGTACGTGTATAAAAAGCGAGACGGCAATTAAAAAAAAAAAAAGAAATCCAACGAACCACACAGCAATTCAGATCGTCCCACCAGGAGGTTGTAGATTAGCCAAGTATACCGTACGCGGGAGAACGTGCAACACCGTGCGGGGCCAATTAGCGTACAGCAGCATCACTTAATTAATTAATCGCGATCCACGCGATAGCTACTGGCTGGATTCTGCGTAAAAGCGTGGATGAACTTTCAAATAAGTCTAAGGCACAGGAAATTCCCAGTATGTCGGAATAAACAATTCGAAACTGTACTTGCACTTTCATAAATCGAAATCTAATAGAGTAATTAATTAAGCTTTTTTAATTATCCCGGATATTGCTGTAATTAAAGATCCACCCGTTAAATACATCGCCTATCAATTGTCGATCCCGATTAATTCGTATGACCCGACAATGAAAAAATTCGCTGTTGAGCCCGATAACACGGTCTCAAATTCACGAGGAATATTCACGTAAATTCATGGTACCATACTATACGTATATGTATATTTCATGCTAAAATAAGGGGATAGCAAGGAAACTGCCGAGGCTGGGATAGCCGAATCGATTTGTTATTAAAGCGACGAGAAGCAATTGCTCCGAGTAGAATGAGGGATGTGGAGTGTGATGACATCGTGAACTGGAAAGGATTAGCCGTTGGGAAGTTCGGAGAGGGTTTAGCGGAATTACGTCACGCCTTATTACGGAAATAAACACCCCAGTAATTTAGCCACCTCTTCTGGCAATATCTCAGTCCTCGCCCTCGATTTACCTAGCGCGAACGTATAATATATCTACAGTACGTATATATACCTATACTTACCGTACTGTAACGGCAGTGTCGGCGTTTTGCCTTGTTTCCAGAGTAATTCAACGCGATAAAAGTCTATATAAACGTAGCCGAGGCGCATCGCGCTCGATTTCCCATAGACCTTGGTTAGAGAGTAAGTTTGTAGGTATAGGAGAAAGATTGAGCCGGGTAAAGTAAAATTGTTAAGAGAACTTTAACGTTGTTAACGCGAAGCGAAAACCACGTGTTCTGTGTTCAAGGTACAGACATGGGAATCACGTGGGACATTACGAACGGGCTGTGTGGAATTAATGAAATTACTTCGAAAAGTATAATTTTATTCGTAATCTATTTTTACAGAATTAAGTTGAAGTAGAAAATAAAGATGACAAAAAATTCACCAAACCGCCTGGCCAATATCGATTCTCGTGAATGCCAAAAGCACAATGGCTTGTGTATGCTATTTTATTAATTGATAATACGAGATATTTCGATAACGCCCATTCGTATAATGCGGATGACGTATCATTCGGTAATAAACGTTTGAGCATAAATTAGCATAAATACCATTGGGTTTAGTTGTATATCTGCACTCGCTGGTTCCGGCATTGATTACAGCCTGGAACGAACATATCCGCTTCCCGCCTTTACTATCAGTGATAACGCTCTCGAAAATTCGTATACCAATTCCTACCACTAATATTCTCGTATAAATAGAAATTTAAGATAGAATGACTTTACTTTGAATATATAAAAAAAAAAAAAAAAATCTCAAGATATAACACGTGCGTTCTAAAGTCTTCGACTACTGTCATGTGTGTTGACATTTTTTCGAATTTTTTTTTTTCCTTCACTCTTGTCCTAACCAAGAGTCACGAGCGCATCCCGTACTCGGATAAACTTTCTTACGAGCTTCTTTATAGACACATCCTCCTTTTTCCCGAGAGCATGCCAGTGGCTAACTAAAGAGAAACTGTGCGCTATTTGCGGTCAGAGTATATGTAATACATAGATATACGAGTGCGAGCTGAAAGGAGGTGAGAAAAAGGTAAGCTAAGAAAAGTTATACGAAACACACCATTGGGAGATGCCACGAAGGATAGACAAGAAATAAGAGTACGGACTATCCCGAAAAGTGTGAAGAATCCTAAAGAAATTCTTTGCACGAGACATTTATACGGCACAAGAGCACTTTGAGGTTAGGATCATTAATTTGAATCGTGACCGATCATTTTTCACGTACGTCGCGTATACTCCTTCGAGAAAGTAACGTACGTCAAAGTATGGCTACTGGTATACATTGAAATTTCAAATTAGAAAAAAAAATGAAGTATCCGAAAATTATTTTCAACGATGCAAATGCAAAATTTCCACGAGCATAACACTGGTATATATACGGTTAAGTGTATCGCAGTTATAATCCAATGTAACGCCTTTAGGTGTAACAAGAAATTAATCCAACCCCTGGAGCATTTCTCCGGAACGAATCGGTACGTTGAGATTTCGACGTAAAGTGCAGTATCCCAGGATTCCATTAGCGAACTGCTGATAGACGAGATGATAGTGAACCAGCATCTCCCACGCGTTCTGTACTAGGAACATTTCTCAACCCCCTATAGTACTCAGCCCTATCCATCTGGACTCATCCCTTCTATCTACGTAGCTATAGATACTCGAAACGTACCCGGGTACTCTACCCTACTTGCACTACTGTTAAAAACTTTCGACACAAGGCTCGCGCAGCGGATCCAAGATTAAGCCGGAGTCTTTGCACTGGTTCCAGGACAAATTCCCAAGTGCGGATAGTCAAATAATGTCTTTGTCGTCGTTCCAGGTAAGGTCGGTCGTACGTGTAAAATGACATATAGAATCCACGTATGACGTCACGCGAATCCGAAGTGCGCGAACGAGACCGCGTCGACCCGAAAAGATAAAATGATGATTTCGCGTAGTTTGATTTCATAAAAAATTTATTGTCAAAGATAAGTTTCCCATTAGCCGAAGATCGAGCGTGGAAAATGTTGGGGGTCGAGGTACGAGGGGAAAAAAGAGAAAAAAAAAAATTGTTCCGTTATCTACAACAGTTACTTCTTATCAATCGTAAAACTTGCCTCGTAACTCTGACCGTGAATTCGATGAAGCATTTCTTGCACCTCCGTAAGAGATTTTCCTTTGGTTTCCGGTAAAATGAAAAACACCGCGGTACTACTGACGAGCGTGCAGACGGCGAATATATAAAAGATAACCCCAAGACTCATACTGCGCAACAATTGGGACATGGTCATGACCATGATCAGGTCGAAGGCTCCACCGCATATGTCTGCGAGACTGGCGGCAACGAATTTGACTTCCGTAGGAAAGAGTTCAGCAACGACGATGTAGGGCAAAGTGAGTATGCCCAGGAAGACGGCCATGTAGTAGCATCCGACGCACAGTATCGGCAACCATGTGAAACTAGTGACGTCATATCCGGCGTCAAATAGAACGAAGAAGGTGGCTAGGATTACGAGGACCAGGCTCGTCAGGATTCCCGACACGATGTAGAGCGGTCGACGTCCCACGCGGTCCAGGAGGCTGCTGGCCAGCATCACGGAGACCAGGTAGAAGCAGTCGGTGATGATCACAGCAAGGGCAGGATCGAGCGGGACCTCGGCCAGGTTCAGGATCCTTTCGGTGCAGTTGCTCACGACGAGGCTGCCGCTGAACTTATTGGCGAACTTCATGAGGACGACGATGAGAATGGACCTTCGATTGACGCGCGTTGAAAAGAGGGTCGGAAATTTCTTATAGGAGCAGTCGGCGCCATCGACGTAATTCCTGATGTCCACCAGCTCCTGATCGATCTCCTCCTCGTTGTAATAGGGTCTGAGCTTGCGCAGGGACACCAGCGCCTTCTCCTCGTGACCGTTTTGCGTATCGAAGTAGGGACTCTCGATGATCTTGAACGAGCCCAGGATGAAGAGGCCGACCGGTATCAGGGCGATGGTGCTGAGGTCGTTCATAGTGGCAAAGAGGCTGCAGCTGTGCACGAGGATTTCGCCGAGGGCCAGCATGGCGCAGAGGAAGGCTGAGATGGCACCGCGATACCTTTTGTCGGCCAGCTCAGCCAGGTAGAAGATCGACGAGGTGATCAAGATCCCGGTACTGACGCCAGTCAGTACTCTTCCTATGCAGAGACCCCCGAAGGAATCCTCGATGGATAGTACCAGCCAGCCTACGGTCATGGGTACCGTGCCAAGGAGCAGGGCCTTCTTTCGACTGATCCTGTATATGTACAATGGATTTATCACGTTGATCATTATACTTCCGATCAGGTAGCTGCTGATCACCCATGAGAATTGGCTGTCGTTCAGCGAAAGCTGGTTACTCGCTGGCGACGTCCATCCAACGGCGAATCCGACGGACAATATCACCAGACTGGCTGACGAATATGAAATAATGATAATAATAAAAGAATGCTCCACGTGTTCACAGTCCAGGACGCCTTGAATTCTTACCAGTCACGGCAGAGTACAATTGCCAGAATGGGAAGGTGGACGGAACAAATTTAAGTTTCGATATCATCTCGCGATCCGATCTGTACCGACGGGTAGAAAATATCGAGACCGGTATAACGATCCACGGCCGATCCTATTCCTCGTGGAGAACTAGTGTAACTGTGAGAAAGTTCGTTCTCAAGAAATACAAATGTCATTATCGGCCAGATTATCAGTAGTTACGATAAAGTCATCTATATCGATTCGATCCAAGTATTTCCGATACAGATGACTTATCCGCGCAGAATTATTTTATATTTAAAAAAAAGGGTGCCAAGTCACTGTGGCGGTTTTAGAGGTACCGGTCTCACAAAAAGTTTTGAACTTGATTTCTGATGCCACGTGGCATTCCACGAAAAAGGACCCAACTTGGTGGAGACGAATCGCACGGAAGTCATCTGACGATCGAGTCATCCTTGTACCTGCAGTTAGGTATCGACGGAATCGTGGACGGCTAACCTGGAACACCCGGCAGCCTCCATCCCAGTGAAGACGTTGGTCCATGGAGTACTACAGAGACAAGGGCCGGTTATCCCAACCCAGGCAGCCCAGTGAAGTATCGAGCTGGGGTAACTGGGGTATTCTCGATAAAGGAGAGGATGTCTTCACCACTCGGAGCTCTGGTGGATGAAGTGGATGAAGTGGATGAAGTGGATAAAGTGGACCATCCCGACTGATACCGTTTATCAAATTTTTTTTGACTTTCTTTGGCCTTTTGTAAAGATCCCAGTCCTTCTACTATGTACCGTGGGACTGAATCCCTGTGCATTCTGCGGATGACCCACATTTAATTAATTCGTATTACATCCTAGTGGATGCCTGGCACCGAGATAGTAAACTGTCCCACAAAGGTCTCATTTGTGGACATCTTTCGAATTTCGAAATTTGGGGACGGTGTTTTCAAAAAATGCGGACACGAGGTATATCTGACTCTTATCTTAAATTCAATGTTACTCATTAAATGTCTCGACGCATGTAGTATCCGATAAGAAATTGATCAGCGATAACAATAACTGTATCGATGATTAATACGTTAATCTAATGTATTGCATTGAAATTTAAAAAAATGTTATATTTACATCAACAAATAATAACCTTATATAGATACGGCGCAATATTATCACGGAGTGCCAACAAATAATGATTTTAAAAATTAAAGAATACGCGATTACATAGCGAAAATAACGTAGGCTCCGAAATCATTGCATTCTACGTGACACGCTTTTATTTAATTTTTTATGAAAAAAATTTTTTTTGTCTAATCCTCGAACCGCCGAGTCTGCTCTCTAGTGCAGATAATAAAAATAAACTACCCGGGTAGTCTCGCCGCCGCTACGCTAACACGCGAGACTGCCGAATCTTTCGATCGACGGATGAAATTGAGGTGCAAATCGCTTCAGGTATCCAGCCGAAAGCAGGCAAATAGAGTAAAGATACAAATAAGTGCCAAAGGCGGTAAAAGATCGTTACAGTATAGAGCTCTACCCAATGTAAATCCTTGAGAAGTTTTATATCGTGAAAAATCGAAGATCAGGAGCAGCGACTCTCTGAGGTGGAAGCCGTTCAAGACGTGTACATAGCGAGCAATATATATATATATATATAGTATATCCATATAGAACTTTCCAAAGGGAGCATTCCGCACACTTAACTTCGCCTCTCCCTGCAAAATCCTCCAGAAGAAGACACGAGGGGATCTGTCAAAGTTTGAAGTATCCTTATTGGTCCTCTTTTTAAAATCGTCCGACCCACCTTCATTGGACTCGAGAAAATAGCTCTAGGGACATACGGGACTGGTACCAACTTTCGAGAAGCTCCTTGGGTAACGATATTACCAGTCAATCCCAGCACCAAGAATAGACGACGTCCTCGAAGGAATTCCTCCGGAGTTACCCACGGGACATGCCCTGACCTCCTTCCCATCAATCCTGTCCCTCATTTCCGGTGTATTCTCAAGTATTGCACAATCCGCCAATGCAGTGGATACAGCCGACGAATCCAAAACGTCACTTTAGACCAATGAGAAATCGATCGCCGTAGTAAACATACAGCGAGGATCCAACGCGAAAGATTCTCCGTCAGCCATGAACCCCAATACGATTGGTCCAAGTGCGTAAGGTTTTCCCAGATTCCACGTGTAATTCTGCAGCGAGTAACGCGAGGGATGCGCCGGCAAGTGCATTCTTGAGCCACCGCCCGGAATGGAAGCCGGCAAGACGAAGGGAGAGCAAAGGGTTGGAAGCCGAGAAGAAGCCAAAAGCCCTCAAGAGTCGTGACAGTGGTGCCAGCGTGAATTTTCGCCTAGCAAATTCTGCCGGGAACTCCTTGGTAAAAGAAATCGGCTAACCGTAGGACCGTGTGGCTTTCACGAAAGAGATACGTAAACACGTATGTCGTAATTCAAGCCTAATGGACAATATACGTGGTAGCGTAATATAAATGGTACCGGGATTGTGACCCTCGTCAAGAAGATGAAAGAAAATGAGTAAAACGCCGAATGTCTCCAATGTCAAATGCTGCCCGCAAACGGCCACCGCAGGTTTCTTCGTGCTGCTGCGTGGTTAGAGCGAGGGAAGCCAAAAAAAAAAAAAAAGATATTTTGCAAAATTTCCAAATTTTATTACGAGCTAAATGGGAATCGCTGACGGTCCACGGTCTGTCCCAGAGTATTAAATCATCGGGACGATAACTACGGCCAAATGACGACGTGAAAGCTTTATGTCTCGTATACGTAATATACAGTCTGCTTGGAGGCTCACTGTAAGGAAGCAGGGACCTAATGATTTTGGTGTCGCGGCAAATTGAATGGCGCAGCCACGTGACAGTGGGATATTTCCCGGGCATCGAAGCCTGGTGTAACAGTGTTAGGAGTCAATTTCCCCACGGTGAAAAGGTGCCCTAGGGCTTGAATCGGGAAGCGCCAGACACTGTAGTCAAAGTTCAGGTAGGAGTTGGGTGTACCTGCACAGGGCAAAGGGAGCCGAGCACTTTGTCGAAAGGGAAGCTGCAAGATTTGTTTACTATGCTGGCGTAGCTAATGCATTTTCGAACGTCCTCTGTAGACTTGCTAACGTGTAAACAAGTTGCGTCACGCGGCGTATACCGATCAATTGCGCAACCCGACCTAGCTGCGACATTGCCAAAGGTTATACCGTTCGGAATCGCGATAGTGACACCTGTCGGTGAAAAATTGCAACTTTCTCAGGACAATAACGCGACGCCAAAGCCAAGATTACGTGACGCTGGAAAATTGCGTTTTAATGTGAAATATTTAATGTCATAAGTACTCGGGGGATCGGTCTGTTGCAACGTGACGAAATAAGAAAATTGCCAAGGCGTCCCGACGCCCTATCCGCGACGGCTATTTATTTGCATTAGCGAACCAAACCAATGGGTTTCTTTTTCCCAACCAAGTAAATCTCTTTCCGATATCCACTCGAGAGGAAATTAAATTTCACAGCTGCAAACTTTGAATTTTCCCCGCGCCCACCGAGAGGACGCTGGAGAAATCACGGAGATCGGTATATACGTATATACATACGACGAGCATTATAGTAAAATTTACGCCGTGTTATTTATATAACGCCATTTACAGGTATTTTACGCCATATACCGATATCATGAATCTTTAAGAAGCCAAGAATCGAACGGGAAGTCAAAGTGCCGTCATAAATACGTATATCATCCCTATACAGTTCTGCCGATGTATTACCTCACAGCATGCACTCGGTGGGAATCAATAAATTTCATCCGACCCGACGATTTCGATTCCGTACAAAGAATTCCCGTATACTTGCCGAAAGCGTCCGTCTTACCTGGTGACCCCCTCACCCGCCGTGATCGGGGGTCAACAGGAAACCGATTAACCTGAGCATGGCATGACGATCTAGAGAATAAGCCAACGAAGGGATTGGCTTTTTAGTCAGCCCTTCTCATAACGAGGGATCTGATCCATCCCCGAGAAAGCAGGTCGGTTTTGGTACTAAAACTTCCTGACCCCAATTAGTCACCCGACATTACCAGAGACTCGGCTGTCGGTTATACCCATATTGACCCTTAATAAACGTACGCGCCTCTGTCTATATATTCCCCAACGTTAAGGGTTACCGGCGAAGGTATTGTTTTATACATTTTTTTTACGTCTTCCAAAAGTCTATACGGCATATCAAGTAATTTATCAAATTTGGCGTCGAACGAAATTTGTGCCTAGGTTCGGAAAAGGCATCGGCCCTAATGCGACAATGTTAACGACAGGCGGCCGATGGCTGGCAATTAGAGGAACTCCAAGACGGTGGGTCTCGTCTTACGTTGAATATCGGAGAGGGACCTACCTTGGCACGTTTAGCGGCTGGGCTGGCCTGGACTGGGTTAAGACTCTCTGGTGACGCTGATTGATCGGCGAGACAGTAAGTCCACCCTGGCGAAACACTTTGACCGAACTTCAAGAGCCGGCAGAGTTCGGCACGCTATTATACGCTTCTTGAATCGGAAGCAAATTGGAGGCATTAGCCGCGCTTGGTAAAAAGCCCCTCTCGACTCTCTTGACACATTCTTCGATGACTTAAGGTCAAAGTTCGACGGGTCCTTCTTAAACCTTAATGCGTCACGAGCGTGGGACGAGAATGAGACAAGTTTGGAAAGACGAATTTTCTGGGAAATTATTATAATGAAAAATCACATTGTCGAATTACTTAAATCGAACGGACCTAAGGAAAACGGCTTAGGATAATTCAATGACGATTGATAAGGAGAAAAATAATCAAATTTTCTATAAAATCCTTATATCGTATACAAATAACCAATATCGTTCGTACGCAACGAATCATTTTCAGTAAACAATCGGTTGATTCCAATAACGATAAGATTCGAGACGGATAACGGAGAATCTTAGAAAAATTAATTATCACTGCTGAGAGGTCGTGAAATACCGCGAATAATCTCAAGTACTAACAGGTAGCTTATCGGTGAAGAAAATTGTCAAATTAAAAAGAGAATGAAAGGAACCTAGAAAAATAATTCAACGTGTCACGTCATCTCACGTTTGTACAGTGACGCTTGGTACTTTTAATTAAATCTTTCCAGTGCTCATGCAACCTATTATTTCAGCCGTCACGTGCTAATTACGTAATAATAAGTAAAAAAATATCATTGAAATACGTGCTAGTCAAAATGGAAAAATTTGAGGACAGAAAAGGCTAAGAAAAAAAAAAAAAAATCCATTTCAGTAAACAAAGAAAAGCTCCTATGAAAACGCATGACGAAAAATTCTATTGAGAACCGTCCGCACTGCTACGGACTCGCTAACGAGCTTAAAACCAGATTCGAAGCCATATTACTCCAAGTACCGTAGCGAACCGAACGTAGGAAGCTCCAAGCGTATATTTCGTAGGCAGCACGCGCCGTGAAAACAGTAGGCCAAAATTATATACCAACTTAATAATCATAAAGTGAAGCGGTAGCTTATCGTGAGCGCGTACACGAGCAGTGGCTACAGGTAGTTGAAATTACGAATTGCTGATAAACAAAGAGTCCCAGGTAGGAGAAGAAGCTATTATATATAAGAAGCTGTCCATACGGTGAGTACAGGAAATCGAAAGCAGATTAAACCAATAGGCAACGAGAAATGTGTCGTTAAGGTTGAGAAGGTTGCCCCGGCAGAACGTCTGGCAGCCAATTGTAATAGGTTCCCAACAGTTGGGCAAGTTGGCAGACGATACGTTTTTTGCCGGGTGGCCAAGTTTGATGGTATATTACGCGCGGCCCGAATAGGAATAATAGGAAGGGAAACGTGAATAACTAGGAGAGACGGTGGAGAGAGAAAGAGGGAGGGAGAGCGAATGGTTGGAATGACGAAACGAGCGAGGGAGGCAGAAGCAGCGAGCAGAAGGGAGAAACGGGGAGAAGGTCCGGATGGGAGACATTGCATTGTGAGAAACGGGATCGAGGTGGGTTCGGAGTCTGTCGTCTGCTGATAACGTCCGCTATTCGCTCCGGCATTTTGCCCATAGTGGCTGACCACGGCTTTAACATGGACCCATTTCTTGTACGGTCACGTCCTCGTTTATGATATTCGTTTACAGTGCACGATAAAAGTGGTGTATAACGTGACGATGCTTATGGGTGACTGGCTGGAATTTAAAGACTTTTTGATAATTGATAAACAATTTTTTTAATTGAATATTTAAATACGTTTTTATATCGGATCGCTTGGTATCGTAATAATGTGTCAAGCGTTATTTTTTATTTTCAGATGAGACATTGGTAGGAGATTGAGCTATGAAGAAACGCGGCGCTACGGACAGTAAGGGGAATAAGAATCAACAAGAGAAATCGAAGAAGGACGAAGAGAATAAATTGGAGTTGGCACCACTGGACGACGATAGTCACAATCAGGGATTCGGCGAATGGCTGCGATCGAGTGATGGAGTCGATATGATGAGACTGTTTGTGCTGGCTAATTCTTTAGTCGTTTTCGTGACTATGGCGTGGCCGAATATGCAGGAGGCTGTTAATATTATTCGTGACATGTTTATGGGCGAGGAGGAGTGAGGTGGTGGGTCTTGATAAGCAATTTGGAGAAAGAGAAAAAAAGGATAAGGGTAACCTTTGGATTTTTGAAATATGGCGTTTTGACAGTGTATGAGAGTAAACGACAATTTGTTTGCTAAAAAGGAAGATTGAGATACCTTTGTTTGACTTGAAAGCAAGAGACGAAAGTAACCGTTGGGTCAAGTGGGAAGTTGGACGTGAAAAAAGATTAAGTAAATCCGACCAGTCTGTGTAGATGGCAGTGCTAACGATGGTACTGAGATTCCTGTTGAAGCGATGAGTATGGATTTTGCTTTTTACCAACGGTGGAACTGGTGTGTCGGATAGATATTTGAATAAGAGTCGAAAGTGTTTTTATCGACAGTCGATAAAGTAAATCTGTGGAAAATGTTGGCTCTGGTATTCCGTGGTATTTTTCTTATTGGCGTGCTCTCCTGGTACAGCAGCAGCGTATGGAAAATGATCGACGGTTATTTCAAAGAAAAATTTCAAAAGTATCTTCACGAGGAATACGAAAGAAATCCAAAAATGCGCGCTGACGTGGATGCATATGGCGCAGCCGATAAAAAGGCTGCACCTGTATTACCGACTGTCGAAAATTTAGACGGCCTCCAGAAAATTATCGACTTTCTCGATGAGCCGACTTGTACCGTCGATCTGGTTAATTCTAAGGATACGGAAAGTCGGTCAGGAAAAGATAAAACGAGTTGCAGCAGTGAAAACGAGGTCGTGAAGTCATCCATCGATAAAAATGCATTCTTGGAAAGTACGAAGAATTCAACAGCAATGAAGAATGACGAATCTCTTAGCGAGGGAAACGCATTCACTGATCGATCCACGGAAAAGTCGCGTACGACTATTGACACTGCTAAAACTGCCAAGGCTGAAGTCTCTAAATCCATCGACGGAGCAGCGAATAATAAACAAAAGTCGGGAGAATCATATGAGAAAAAATTGTCGAGGATAAAAATGAAATTACCGAGAGAACGCAAAAAGAAACTTAAGGTGAAAATAATAACGCTGACAGACGCCGATTTCGAATCGGCCAAAAGCAAAAGATCGGCCGACGACGATTTCTCGGAGTTCGACACAGATGATAGCATAGTCCAGGAAGTTCCCGAGGGAGTACTAGTTTCGGAATTGCCATTCAAGCCGAAAGCCGATATCGGCGATCTGGAGAGAGTCTCTCCCGAGGAGTATTGTCCCCTGACAATGGGTCTGGAGGATGAATTAAGTTGCGGCGAGACTCGAAAATGGCCCTAAGGACGCTATCAGTGCCAATTACAAGGTAAATGGAAACTGGTGTGAATTAACGAAGACCATTCGGGTCTCGGAAATGAGAGATGAAATTTTACACGAGTGACCAAGAGAAATCAAAAGACGGTGACCTTGAGGAGGCTCGGCACCGTTGTATTTAATATTCCTGAAGAGAGATGCCAACGGCGTAAAGTATTCAAGATTTCACGATCACTTAGAAAAAACAAAAAATTTCATCCACATGTACTTTCCACATAAATTCAAATTGGAAATAATAACGTGAGACAAGTTACGCAATTTTAATAATCGCCTCGAGGATCACTCCCAAACAAATCCAAATATATAGGGCTCCAATTACATAACTCCAAAATACGTATACGACGATATACTCGCGCGTAAATAGAAAAATAACTTTAACTGTGGCAATTCCGATAAATATTTGTGAAAAATATTTTTTTAAATACGTCACTACTCAAAAATTTCAACTACCGATCGATACTGTCAATCGCCATAAAAAAAATTCCAATCGCATTATCAAACTTTGCAAAACTCAAAAAATTCTAATTCGTTCAAACTATCTGAAAATTTCAAAAATTCCACTCCAAGCATTACTCCAGCCTGTGCCTAAGATATGTCATTCAGACAATATAATAATTCATATTTATACCAACACAGTCATTTGTGCGATAAATAATTGTATGTACAACGTGGGATGCAATGGGAATACCCCCTATACGTTGTATAAATATTTATCATCACGTGTGATTACACACGTGCATCGCTCCAAGAATGCTCTTAGCATTCGGCATTGGAATTAACGGGTGTGCGTCGGAAATGCGAGCCAACAAACGATGCAAATGCGAAGACCCAGTAATGCACTTGGATGCGATTGTGCGCATGTAACTCTTGTCGACTTATCTGCCGTCATGGAAAAAAAAAAAAAAAAAAAAAAAAAAAAAAAAGTAATCGCAAGGAACAGTGCGTTCATTTTATGGTTCGAACAAGCATCCGCTCCGTCTATATTCGATATTCCGTGGCCGTTTTGGTTTGGCACGATGCAAAACGAGCACATTGCGTCCCGTAAAGGACATAGCACTTGTAATATCATGCATGGGGAACGACGTTAGGAATATTTAAAAGCAGTTTTGACTCAAGGCAGCGCTCGGGAGACAAAAGGAAAGTGTACGCATTAAAATATCGCAATTAATAACAGAAATAATGCTGTAATTGTTACTTCCGTAATTTTGTTTACTTCAATATATATATATATATATATTCTTGGAAAAATGTATATATATAATACCTAGTTGTCTACTTGCGTAATAAAGGAGCGAGGGACTCAGCTGTTACGAAGAAACAGACTGACCTTCCATTACTTATGGATTTGTATTACGCGAATGTGCGTCGTGAGAAATCGATTAAAGGTTATTGGGAATAGTATGTGCGTATATATGTATATACATATATACTTGTATAGTTGCGCGTGACAATTAATGGAGCGGAAGATTGTCAATTAAATATATAGGAAAAATACAACCTAATTATGTATGCTATAGGACAATTCTATTACGAGAATTTAGTATGACACTGTTTGGCAGTCTTTTTTAAATCTCTTAGACGTTTCTACCCCGTTGGAAACATCACGTTACGATACGATACTCGTTAATTCCATAAAACGACTTCCGGGCATCGTTAATTTTTTTCCTTTTCGTAATTTCGCAATTTACTACACGTTCACTTACAAAGTCACGCATAGTTTACACGCATAGCCAGTGACAAGCAAAGGTCGTAATTTTTCGTGCCGCTGGTTCCGACGTGATTCTGAAATCATCTCGTATTTAAACGCGGTTGGATTCACATGGAAACGCAAAGCACTTCAAGCGATAAAGTTACACTTTTCTAAACGGTACATTAAAAGTTTAGCTAGTGCGTGCGTATGGGTATACGTATATGCGTGTAAGCACCCGTATTATATGACGGTAAGGAATCGCAGGTTGCACTGAGAACCATAGTAAAAGCACGACACGAATCTCTTTCATAGAAACGAGGAATGTGCCTCTCGAATAGTGGACCTGTTGAATGTCAGCTTTCAACAAGAGAGGTATATCCTTACAGTTCGCATACCAAGGTACAGAGGACTGGCAATGGTTGGCAGTTGGAGGCTTGTAGTCAATGCTTAGGATAGGTAGAGGATCCCTGAGGAGAGGACCTGGGTCGTCTGGGTTTCGAAGGACAGTATCGTACGGATGAAGCAGAAGCACGCCGAGAGGTAGAGAGTGATAGAGAAGACGAGTAAGAGCGAGAGAGAGAGAGAGAGAGGAGAGAATGAGTGAGTTAAGAGACTCTCACGGCGGGAGAAACGAGAAAGGAGACTCAAGAGAGGAAACGAATGAAGGGTCTAAGGATAAGAGAAAGGGAGAGGAAGACAGGTACCAGCATAGCTTGGAAACCTAACCTACAAGGGTCCAGATGAATTATTATACAGATATTAATATTTAACTAACCTTCAGTTCGTCGTTATCCTTCGATATTGGATTGGAGCCTGGATTCCAGTTTGATTTTGGTGCAGCCACTTTATACTTGAATCACAATCGCACTAGCCTTGTCAAAACATCGTCGAAAAACACTCGCGTTCTCCAGCGGCACATTTCACTCGCGTGCACGACGCGATTGCGGTTGGATGGATTTGTTAGTGATATCGAGTCGATTAGTTTTTGATAGCCGGATTAAATATTGGGGACTACAGGACGGAGAGGTAGCACTCGCGAAATACATGTGAAAAGTACGGGACTCGCGACGTTTTCGAAGGGACAGATAAGTCAACGAAACGCCAACCGATTGTGTTGCTGTTTGACCTGCCTCTGAACTGACCAATAGGCATTCAGGTGGTACACTGAAGAGAGGACAGACACAGAGAAGAAGAAGGGATACACAGTGACCACCTGCCGCGCAACCTGCTGGGGTCCCTGTAAACATATTCTTACTTGAAATTTAACCTGAAGGTGTTTTACCGAGAGTTTCTTATGGATCGGTAAAGCAGCATTTGGTTTCACTTGTAATTTAATGTAACGCTGGTATTTTCTTTGTGTTTTGTATCGTGATTAAATAATTCCTGCACTCCAGAAGGAAATTTATAAATCGGATGTTGATATTTACAAGATGGAGGCAACTGAACGTGAACTGTGTTGTATGAAATCGATTTTATTATATGCAGATATCTTCTTTGCCGATTTATATCGATCCCTGATTTATTGTACAAATACCTTTTGGAGTGCACTGAATATGCTAAGTATGCTCGTGTACTTTGTGCAATGCAATTTTTATAGAATTTCAATCCGTAAAGCTGATTAGCAGGACTCCGCGACACCCAGACTTGCGTGACACCAAATCCTATAAGTTCTTAGTTTATTTATCTCCGCTTGTGGCGTTGACTGATATTTCATTTTAGCTCAGTCGGTAAAGATGATTCTATATTATGTTTTACCATTATACGATACATTTCATATAGCGTCATGTCACGATGTGAATCGTGATGCAGTTGCAATTATGTGAAATGATGATTGCATGAAATCGTTCTTATATGGGAACAAAATAGACTCAGTGACAACTACGTTGTGGCCCAATTCGTATTAAACGGTGCACCTATTGTTCTTTATCTGTTTCCATCCATTTCACATTAACCCATATATATTCTTTAAATGATACTATTTTATATACAAACACAGACTTCATGAGACCTCGCACACTTTTTTTTTGTATTTTTCACGTATTTTTTTATATTTGAAAAATACGTAACGTACTTTTCACGTGGCCCTATTTGAAAGCTACTACCAACTTCCGCAAATATGTTTTAATGGGGCTATTAAGCCGAGCGTCTATTTACGAAATTCTTTAACGGAACTGGTTCTATGAAGACGAATAAAAACTTTTAAGTTTTCTGATACAATATGAAGCGTGACGGGGTAGGCGTCGGGTTGAGTTCCAAGGCTGACCAAACATTGGTACTTATTGTATCAAGTCTTGTTAACAGAACTGTTCATTCACTCGCACTCTGGATGACCACCAGTGCCCCAGAGGTTACTCTCGTGAACAGATTATACCAGCTTGAGTCGTCAAACGGTCGAATTTCGGGAAATCGTAATAAAATGTGTCGAAAATACAGATACTTCATGATGGACACTTATTCGGTGCAATTTTTAATTTGATAATTATGGCTGCATTGGTGCGGCTCAAACGCGGTAGCGTCCAACTTAGACATGCAGCTCTCGAAGTCAGGGGTAAGTCTAGTGAAATTTGATATACTATACATATATTAAGCCACAATAGTGATAATATTATTAAAAAGTAATGGTAAGGTATTTTTATTAAAATAATTTTTATTAATCACGCTCCTAAAACATTCCATAAATTGTATCGGTAATATTTAGAGTGTTGAATTGATTTGAATTTATAACGTGATTTATTTCCTTTTATCTCATCAATATCTCATTATTCATTGTTACGAGCAATAAATTTTATGATGTACATACCTACGACGACTTGCCCGATGTCAATTGACGCATCAAGGATATTTAATATCGAGTCCTATGTTTACAACCCTTACGTTTCATTTAAGTATTTGAAGAGGAACGGTAGTCTTTAGAATGTATATTAATGGTCGTGAAATTATAGGAAAATCGAATATCACAGATCACAGAATAAAAATTATATGCGTAAGAACGAAACGGTGGGCAATTATTTGCGTTACGTCACTGGTATACCAAAGTCGAGGCCGTTTATAATTTATTTCCCGTACTCGTGAGATAGTGCGTGGGGAATCAAATAACTCTTATGATAAGAAAGGGATGTGATCGTCTATCTCGCTGTTTTCGGGCTCTGTGAAATGGCGGAATTCGTTAAGAGAGGTAGTGTGCAGCTCGTCAAGCGTGGCAGTGTACAGATAAAACAAGCTGCGAAAGAAGTTCGAGGTCGGTACAATTTTTGAACTGAGTGTAAAAAAGGGAATATTAAAAATGATAAATTCAAAAGTATTAGTGTGAAAAGCATAATCAAAACTTTTATTAAGCAAGACAATTTCTGAGAGCATTACAATTTTTAAGTGTAACGAGTCTTTCATGGCAATATCGTAAATATATTAAATTACTTTTCTGAATCACGTTATATGGACGTAGATTTGGGAAAAAAATAGTGTCTTGTGAATTTCAAGAATTTCGTGAAGAAAAAATTGAATAACTATATAAATGAATAGTATGTAATTGCGCAATGTTAATAGATTATTAGGCAATAGCAAATAAAGTCCCTACGGTTAATAATGACGAAGTTCTCGTCTGAGCAAGTTATCAAAATCAAACACGCCAGTCGCCCGAATCATATTTGTACATTGCGATAAGGTTAAGAAAAATTATGATTGTTAAGAAAAATTATGATTTTACCGCAAACAATCTCCGTGCTCAGCTCGCCATTGGTTAGACGATTTGTTACACAATATCATTGAAAAAAGATATTTCCATTACACGAGCTATTCAGATTCCTGGGATATCGTGCACTACTGTAATAATTAGGAATATTTTGGTCTGTTTCTTTTAAATTGTTTGAAAAATGTTGGAAAAAGAATTATTAAATTTTGAAAAATGTTCAGCGGCCGTACGAGCGCGGCACGTCGTGGCCGCGCTCGTGGCCGTAGGATTTGCTCTCTGCGGAGCCGTCGAAGTAAGTTCATCGGTAGCCCTATTGGCCAATCAGGAGGACAATCATGCCATCATCGACACATCATGGCATTGCGACATGTTGGTCAACATCACAAGTCGAAATCGTACTGAAGATTTTGAAGTTATACTTCTTGAGGTACCAAACATTGAATCACAAGAGATACTGTACAATAAATAAAATATAAGACTGAAAAAAAAAAACATTCTTCTTTCAGCTACCACAAGAAGAGCGTGCAGAGTCAATTATGCGCGAGGCCTTTCTCTGGGGTCAGGTCGCAGGTCCCATTCTGGGTGGTTGTTTAGTTTGGGGCAGATCAGGCCCCTCAATGGTTTTCTCACGAGCAGTTCTCAGCGCCTGTCTTGCCTCCTTATTGGTCCCAGCAGCCTGGAGAGGTCCGTCCCACGTGGCACTCAGACTCTTTCAAGGATTATGCACAGTGAGTACGACCCAAAGCTAAAAATCTTGTTGAAAGAATTTTGGGCCTTATTACCCACAATGTTTACTTAATTGCATAATTGCATGTTGATCAATTGCTTACTTCAGGGTGCAACCATGCCTGCAGCTCACATGCTCGCCATGACCTGGTTCAAGAGCACTCATAGAAGTTGGTTCTTTAGTTGTTATGCCGGTAAGAATTCGATGCTTCAACAAGACGTCAATTTTTTAATTAAAACAAACATTACCTTATTACGTAATAATATCCTCCACTTAATATTTTCCATACAGCGGTTAGTGTAGGTTACTGCCTTACCGGCTGGATTGGCACTGCAGTAGTCCGAACATTTGGTCGAGATTCTTTATGCTATGGTTTAGTGCTACTTACGTTATGTTGGTACTTCACGTTCGGACGTTTCGTCAAGGATTCACCAAAATCTTACCAGCACGATACTAACGTAAGAATAATTACAGGACGAGAATCTAAATTGACGTTTCTTCAGTAATTAATATATTAACAGGCGGCTGTAATACCATGGGGAAAATTATTAAGATCCGTACCTGTGTGGGCTTCCGCCGTGGCAACGATGGGCAATCAATGGGGCGACGCCACTCTTTCTCTCGGCATGACGAAATACTTGAAGCTTATCTATGGTTTCTCAACAGCTAACGTAAGTTCGCCATAACGATTCACCGTAAGATTAGCAGCCATTGTATCAAATTGTATTTTTCTCTCTGCCTCGTAACCAGGACTCCGTGCTAACCACGTTACCGCACATCGGCCATTTTATGGCGGCACTCACGTGCGGTCTGCTAGTTGATCACGTACGTGAATCTGGAATAGTATCCACGACTACGGCCAGAAAGCTAGTGGTGTATACAGGTACGACTGCATTCTTGTTTAATTCAGTCGCCTTAACTGAATTGCATTTAATAACAAGTGTATTATGACTCTGACGTTTCAGCGCACTTTATACCGGCTGCACTTTTATTCGTGGCTGGTTATGCCGGTTGTCAGGCTTTAGGGGCTGCCTGGTTAGGCATTGCTGCCCTTCTCGTATCTGGCACTGCGCCTGCAGGTGCGCTTGCTGCGATTGCTGATCTTGCTCCTGAGGAATCTCCCGCATGTGCAGCTGCTGCCTGCGCTCTGTGCTCTACACTTGGCGCAGCCGGTTTACTCGCTGCTAATTATTTCGTTACCCAAGCTCTACACGGTTCCGTAAGTTGCAATGCACTTTAACGCAATTGGAGTACTGGGAATTCGTGTCTATTGATAATTAAAATTTTTATAATTTTCTTTCAACAGATTGCTGGCTCATGGCGTTTGGTATTTGGCGTTGCGTCTGTCGTCCTCTTGGCAACTGCTGCAGTTTTTCTCGCTCTTGGCAAAGGCGTCCCGCAACCATGGATTCCATCTGTTGCTAGACCACGCAGTCATGACGTTATTTACGAGCAGGATGTACTGGAACTCGACTACGAAGACGTCGGTGTCCAAACGGAACCTTTCGATCCATATGGACTGGATGAGGACGTCGAGAGCCTCAAAGGTGTTCCAAGATCGGCCTCGGTGCATTCAAAAAGCTCAATTGCACATGTTTAAATATTATAGTAATGACAGTTTTGACAATTCATCACTCACCTGTAGATATTGCTCAGTACAATGACTTGATAAATTTATCTTGCGTTTCGTCAGGTCTGTTTAAGAATTAGGATTCGAATCCAGTGATAGAACGGCTTATGGCAGGGAGAACAAAATAAATAGACACGTTCACAGTATTCATAAGAAATTATATCACTTTGCTCCCTTTAGGCATGCATTCACTTAAATTTTAATTAACGAATAATATTTACTCGATATAAGAAGGGATAATTTCTCTTAACAACCGTCATTATTTACACTGGAAAACCATTGCCGTACAATCGTGAGTGGGAAAATTAGAAAGTAGTTTAGTCACTCTTATATCAATCCCCGTAATGAACGGTAACGTCATACATAATAATAAAAAACGTATCTACACAACGACGTACATTCCATTTTTCATTAGAATAACGAGTGATCAATAATTAATCTCATAAGTGTCATATAAAGATAATGGATGCACGAATTAATGTAAAAATTCAAAATATGCTCAACAGGCCGTTAAAAATCCAAAAGCCAAACGAGAGTCGAGATTTCTGGCGAAACTCATTAATCGTAGTTGTATATAAATTAAAGTAAAAATATAATATTGCACAAAAACTAAAAATTCGTCTATTGTTCCGCAAGTGCATGTTATGTGCATAAACGAAAGCGTACTAATCTTAACAAGGAAAAAGACAGTTCATAACTGGTAACAATGCACAGACTGAATTGTCATTAAAGTGAATCCATGTCACTCGTCTTCTCTCTTAGTCTCTATCTCTTCTCTCTGTCTCTCTCTAGATTTTCTCTTTGGTACATTTCCTTATTTATTGTCTGAATGCACTGTACACACATACTGACTGTGAGACAGATTCTTATATCCTCTCGTACTTACCTGTTCAACTGACTTTTGGTTGCCTAGTGAAAAGCCTCGTATAGAGCCATGACGGCTAATTAGATAATTTACCAGAAGAGAGTATTTACCTTATAAGTTAGTATCTACGTAGCATACACGTTCACGTTATAATCTACTGTACGAACATAGAGAGAATGGCGGAAGTTTCTTGGCCGAGTGTTTCTCAAGTAGATCACTGTCTCCGCATAGAAGTCGTCTGTTTATTAATACAGACCTCATAGAAAACATACGCATTGTTAGCCATTATTCCACTTCCGTAGTGGTACCAAAAGCAAGTCTATTTTTCTTTTGTCTCATCTCGCCGTCATCCATTTAAGACATTTGGTACTTTGCGAAAGTGCTTGCCTCATCCAGAATCGTATTCCGTGCGAAGCAGCGTGAATGCTTTTCAAAAATGACTGACACGCAAAATCCCATGCGACCGCGTCCCGTTGACGCGTCCGTACGTTTCCGTTGGCTTTAAATGTCGCAACACGATGCTAATTACAGCCACCAGGTACATTATTATTCTTTCCCCGGTAGACCGTGCTGGAAGGCGCCTTATGAAATGAAATTCTCACACTGATTTATCTGTCGTTTTTTTCCTCCCCCTTTTTTTCTTCTTTTATTTTAATAACTTCATAATGCGTATATTACACTAGTGCCGCCTGAGCGAATGTGTGCTATTTACAAAAAAATGTCACTATTACATATTTCTGGTATAGTGCGAGAAGCACTCGTTAATCTATATGCTTATTTTTTGGTAAACTCCATTGCATGCTAAGATTTTCCTTTCGACGTGTACTGTACCGTTTCGTGAGTGCGCATATAAAAATTCTTCATGAATAAGCGGAATATAAATAATTACCACAAAAATTACTACAAAAATATAGTTTTGCATAAAATTACTGTATCATTGATTATATCGAAAAATTTCGTACGTATAATTTTTTAATTAAAAAATTATTACGTATGACAGCATACTGCTGAGGAATCTATATGATCTGTCACGTGAACGGCGCTTACATCTTCTTGCCGAACACGTCCTTGTCATCGTCGTTGTCATCAGTGATAATTTGCACGCTCCTGACTGGTCCAGATTTTCTGTACTTAGACGTAGGCGTGGTAGTAGACATCATCACGGTCGGTAAGGTAGGCCGATCGGAATTGATAGCCAGTTGCAGCATTCTTAATAACAAAGCCTCTCTAATAGGGGGCGGCAGAATTTCATCCCCGTCGTCCTGAACCTCCTGGGTGTAAAATTTCTGACGATAGACACGCTTCGAGTATCTAGGATCCTGATAGTCCTCGTACTGATTACCCTGATACAAAGGATTGATAGCCCTGGAGAATCCGGGTCGTCTGAGCGCGACCCGATCGCCGTACTGAACAGCACCCGATGACTGATCGTAGGAAAGTTCCTGTCTGGGAACAGGCGTTTGATAAGCAGGTTGATAAGACGGATAAGGTTGCTGATCGTACAGAGCATCCTCCAGATACGTCTTGGGATAGGTCAGTGCCTGAGTGCCATATTGACTGACCAACAGTCGCCTCAGGAGCATTTGAAAGTCGCGACGACTGAGCGGCGGGGAAATAGGATTAGGTGGTTCCGGCGGAAGTGCGATGGTACTGGATCTGTATGGATAATCAGGCGTGACTGTCTGATGATAATCCCGATCATCGACCGGTGTCGGAATGGGTCTTAGAATGGGTCTTGGCCGGGACTCTTGATCGTGATAGGGAACGGGTCGTGCGAATGGACGTTGGCGTACGTAACTGGGACTTATCGGGACTCTGGTACCTTCCGCGTTTTCCTGATTATTACTTTCAGTCAAATAATGAATATTTGAATCAGTCGTAGTCGAGTACCCCGGTGGTTGACTTGCCAGTGCTCTGTACAGTACCCTACCGACCGGAATGGGTCTGAACCCAGGATCATCATCCAGATTGGATTGACCAGCCTGCACGAGTATCCCGTTGGGCGGTAGTTCCCTTAGGTACTGCTCAGACTGCTGCCTGACGTAGACTGGTTCTGAATTCTGCCTTACGTAATCCCTATTCTCATTTTGCACCCTCTGACCTGGCCGAATTAATATCTCCTGCGGATGCCGTTCCTCTTGCGCAGCTTTCGTCTCGGACTCGTAAACTCGCGGCGAGTCGTACTTGCTATTTTCAAATCTCGCCGGTCCCAAATTATCTTGATTTACGTAAATCGTCTTGGGTCGTTCCACGCGGACGCCAGACAATCTCTGAACGACACGAGGCGGTGTGGTCGTCGTGAATAATGGTCTCGTGGTTGAAAGTGCACCTCCGTAAACGTCGGCATGATCCTCGTTCGCTTCGGCAGGCGAATTCGCCTTGGTAGTCTCCTCGTGCAACTGACGACGCAACGTGTTCCCAGTAGGGATCTTGATGTCGTCATCCTTTTCCTCAAATTCCTCGGTGATCGGCCGAAGATTATGATCGACGGGTCTTTTGGCATAGACGACTCTCCTGTAAGTCGGGTCCTTGTCCTCGGTGCTGGGTCTGTTGATTTGAGAGTCCTCGTCCTCGACCTCTTCCTCGACGGCGATGGGTCTCTGCTGTCCGTTTATGACGAAACGTGGTCTGGTCTTAGGGGTGGCTTTTATGTAGTGACCAAAAATAGCTCTTGGCCTTTCGGTAGTCGTAGACGTCGTCGTGGTGGACGTCGTCGTAGTTTTTCTCGTTCTTGGTATGGACTGTACTACCGAGGACCTGGTCGAAGCTTCCGTCGCGTACACGACGCTTGGTTTTCTCGTGGTAGAGCTCCTATTGGCTCGGGGTATACTCTGGACGACGGAAACGTGTTCCTGCAATGGCGAGACCGTGGTAGCTTTAAATCCCGTGCCGTTCGTCGACGAGTAGGAGACCCTCTTAATTTCACCTTCGGCGTCCACGAAACCGAAAGTGCCCTTGATGTTACCTAAAACGTCACGGCTCTCGACCTAACAAATTTGTTTCCCTCCTTCAGAACACAAAGGCAATTCACAGTGTCGCCTGGCAGAACTAATTAGGCGCGTTACGAAAAATAATAATAATCATGCAAAGACATCAGACCTCCCCGAAGCTAGTAACCCAATGGGCATACCTTGAAGGACCCGTCTCCAGCCTCATAGCCAAACGTGTAGGAACCGTCCTCGTTAACTTTACGTATCTGCTTGAGGATCGCCACTTGCTGATCGTGATTCGTCCCTGAAGTCTGCTGATCGGTGACGTTCGTACAGCCAGCTGTCACCAGGCAGAAGACAGCCATCAGCCATGGCGTCATCTTTAAAGAAAATTCAAAGGGTTTACACAATATTTCTAAAGCACGCTTACGCCTATGGCACTCGTCACGTCAACTCATAGCTTCGTACTGCGGATTTTTAATTTTCTTTATAACACTCTTGCCTACCATCTTCCTTTTTCTTTTCTTTCCTTTACTCGAATCGATTCGGTAACGTGGTAATTTTCTTTTTTACCGCACTTCTGCACTTCAAGTCGAGCGACTAGGTTCAAAATGTACCTTCGGAGTGGAAACCATGGTACCGCGCGTGCGGTGAATGTTGACAATACCGCGTGGGGTGCCGTGCACGGTGTTATATAGAGTGTCACAATAGGCAGCCATCACCCCTTCTACGCGTTCCTCCTAGTCGTCCACAACCTTGATGACCCCCAAGCGCACCTTCGTTAAGACTTCGGCGAATGGAGGTTTGGCACTGAACCCAGCCAATTTTAAATATCCTTTTGGACAACGATCACGAAATATTTAATTACTGTACCCAACTGGTATTTTTAGTTAAGAATTATCTGGGTTCCAGGTTTATTCTCACCTTTAACACTCGTCAGGTAGGCGTTGCAGTATCTTTCAGTAAAGTAGGTCGATGCCAATATGCAACGGAATGACTATCAATTAGAGTACATATGATTCAAAGTATTCTTAGTATCCTGAGACTAAGTTAAGAAAATAATCGTTGACTCTCCATGAACTCCGTACATGCCATAAAGTATGTTCGCGTATACTCGTGCATGAATAAAATAATAAAAATATATATCTGATAAAAGTGTCTTTATAAGATATAAATAATATATCTGTACGGTATAAATGAAATTTGCATTAATTCATTATTTAAATATATGCCATTTAGTAGCGCCATTCGCCACTGACAAATCCTGATAAATAAGCCATTTCCGCTGACCTGAAATCCACCGGTCTTCTACCTCTACAATCGAATTAAGGTGCTAACGAAAGGAAGCGCGATAGTTGTTTCGTAGCGGATGAAAAGTGAAGTGAAAAAAAAAAATATCATGACTAAAGTCAAAGAAACACTGTACGCAGACAGCCAAGTGTACGGAGAAGCAAGGATTCGCGGGGACAAGTGAAAGCCACGTGGGACCCGAGCGGGCAAAAGCAAGGAGAACAGTAGTAGACTGTAAAATGTGTAACAATAGTTCCCATAGTGTGCAACAGCAGTATTGTGAGCTCTAGCTCGACTCTGCTAGGCACTCCCACAGGACAATTATTATATCACGCAATTTCCTTTGGATTTCGCATCCAACGTTTGATTCCCTCTCTGGATATAAGCGACTATTCCGAGTATCCTGCATATATCGTGTTACGTGTATACACTCCGAACAAACTTACCTGAAACATTCGTTTCAGCCGAAGAACGACGATTGCTTCGGAGATTTTCTATCTTTTTATTACTTTCCGTTCGTCATTATTATTTCACGTCCATTAGCCAGTAGCGCCATATACCATTATTTTTCCTCGCTTCCTTTGTAATGTCTCCATTTACGTTTTATACGTGGCTGTTTTTCTGTCTCTTGCGCAAAAATTCTTCCACGCTGTTTTACAAGTCTGCGATGATATTCGGATGGATCTATCGGCGTCCTTTGTTGACTCACAGGCCTGGCTGTTGATCTTACTTTGTCTTACTTGTATGACGTATCTGCTCGGATAAATTTCATGACGTTATTAAGATTCTTGCGGCTTGCAGAAACGCGGGTTAATACGGTCTGGTATAATTTATACGTAGACTCGTATAAGGTGAACCTATTAACGGCGTTTGATATTAATTGTAATACAACCGCAATGAACGCATTACTGGGTACGTTATACCAGCACGCCTGTTTCATTATGGTAGGAAATGACCGGCATTCTTCACTAGGAAATTCAACTATTGTTTTTCTCTTCCACAGAAGTGAATGATTAGATCTTAAATATTGTATAAGAGAAGTTTTGACAGATGGATTTAATTTCACTTAGGATCTTGTCGAAGATATATCGTTAAATCGCCTCAATTCATGATGGATTCGTCATTTACTTTTTCCCGTTGTAACAAAAAAAAAAAACACGCGATGGATGTATTTTTGGTGAATTTAAAACATTTTTTTTAATATACGGTGTGACGTGATTTTTCGAATCACGGTCCCAAGGCGGCTCCGGTTACCGATACAGATAACGTTCTCGGTTTCTGGTTCCCTTCGGGTCGCCACCCTGCTCAGAAGCTACGCTCTCGGGTTCATTCGTACAGTTACGTCAAGGCTCTCGTAAGATTTCGTTATTGTTTAGTTGAGGTCGAGCTGCTCGAATCTGCCGTGGGGAGATAGTCTCGACGTACCGAGTTGCCCGGCAGAGGAGATGATAGTTTTTCTTGCCGTGTTTCGCTACGGTATAGCAAGTTCTCGGTTCGTACAGTTCTCGCGTTGTTCTCGCGGTATCCAGGCAATTCTATGAATTCCTGTGAGTGTTACGGAGGTGTAGTGCTGCGCCTTAGTGCAGTGTCCACCAGAGTGTCCTTTGGATCCAGTTCTCGGCCTCCACGGATTAGCTGCACCAGTTCCGGTGAGTCTCCCAATTTATTAATTGGTGAAGAGATCTCGATAGATAGTTAAGATTCTTTCTGATACGTTCTCGGTTCGTCGCTCTCTGTGTCTCGCACTATTTGCCGGACTCTTACTCCGACCCTCTCTACCTCAAACCCAGCAGCCTGAGCGGCCGTGCATTTCCGTAACCTTCCGCTCCCGTTCGTGCTTCCAGTTGCGTTTGCTGATTTTACGCTTCCCCAAAAATCGACAGGATCCGTTAAGCTACCGCCTCGTCCGATAGGTTCCGTCAGAGCTCTCGTTCTTGGTGGAGTTGGGCCTGTTCCACCCCAACTCCCAGTTTATACCGGCTCGTCAGTTCCCGGTGAAGAAAGGATTGGCTGGCGCCCGCCTGGCTTGCGGATGCACGAATGACGGGTGGACGGCCGAAGGTAACGTAGGTTGGTTCTCGAAGATAGTTCGTTCTCGTATGTTTTGCTATCGGTGTAGGGTCATAAGTTAAAAGAATTACGTTACAATGGACATAGTAAAGAATTTAGTTTATCCTTGTCACTCACAGCATCTGTGTGGTTCAGATTCACTTGGAAATCAATGACATAGATGATGTAAGAAAACAGGTATATAATATACTTGCGCCTGACTTTATGCAACCCCTGATACGTCGATGTATACGCGGAGTACGTCGGACCCGGGGTAATATGAAGATTCGACTTTTAATCCACGTGAGTAATTAATAATGAAAATATGTATACAAATTTGTGCCTTTAGGAACATAAGAGCGTGGATTTGAAGAAAATCAAATAATTAAGTTACTTAACATTTCTTGTGCTTATTTTTTGAGGTTATTTGACGTAACGTCAATTTGTCTTTAACGTCCCCAGAGAAGTAACGCATCTAATGGTTTTTTTTTTCTTTTTTGAAGATATAAAAGAGAAAAATCATATGATGCTGATACGTGTCAGTGCACTTATTATGATCGTCATCGCCGTGTGACGTAACGCATATCTGGTTCCATAGATATACTCGACAGGATAAAGGATATTGCACAAATCCTGCAATAGTCACAGGATATTTGCGTGATCGTTTGACATTGAAAGTAATAAATTTGCAGAATAAGGAATATTTATTGTACATGTATATACTTTTTGCTCTAAATAATTTATAAATTATTATTATTTTTTATTACGTGAAAACGATTCATTGAGTCATCCCAGTTATCGTACAATTATTTCAGTGGCGTCCATACAATAATACTGGAGAGCGGTCAGAGAAAGCAGCTGTAGCAACTTTCGCTGGCAATCATCCAGTTGCATTGACCGCAAGATCATAGATGCTGACCTTCATTTTTCAAACTATCAAGGTCAAGGCCAGTCCAGTTACTATTAGCCACTGAAACAATGATAGATAAGGTAAACACTTGAGATTGATTTTATTGATAGTATTATAGCTATTATTAGAATTTATGTATTTTCTCTGTCACTGGATTCTAAATCGTAATTTTGTTTTTTCTTTTACTATTATAATTGTCGTTGTCCACGCAAGCGTATTCGGATATGTATAAAATTTGTAGTGCCAGTTGACCATTATAGTTTCTCTTCCTCATAACGAATTGTCATATATTTTTGTATTGCGATTTCACCAAATACGCTTCTAAGAGTTCCAAGTCGCCGTTGTACGTAGTGGGAAATATGGACGCCAGATGTCACTCGCGTCGGCGTAACAAACGTTTCGTTTACTTTCCGTTGTCTCGCGTGTGAAACAGTTTCTTTCCGACAGTTGAGTAAAAGTTGACTGCCGATTGTTCATGTCCGAGAAATGTTTTTTCAAGTTTCTCACTGTCTTATTTTCGTCCAAACATAATATTCAAGATACAACGGAACAATTATGAGTCAAGTTTATACCCAAAAGACCAATTAACATCTATTTCTAGAAATGTCACAATTTATATAACAGGTACGTGTACAAGTAGTAAAGTGATTGTTAACATCAGGTTTATCGTTATACAGCACGTATCAGAAATCCCAAATACAATTGTATCAAAGCCTGTATCTCGTAACAGAACTGCAACGTAGATCTTATGATCCAATCAGGGAAGCATCGAGATTAGTTTTGCGGCCAGGTTAACTTTCTGATGTGAATTGAGCCTTTATTTTCTTTAATTTTCTTCCACTTTCACCGTATCAACAGCAATCTACTTTTTCCAGCAACCACATTGAATATTTGACATTAACTCGGACTATCAAACTTCTCTGCTATCACCCCGCGTTTATAAAACCTAACTACAATTTACATTACTCGCTGTCATAAACGTGTATCTATATCCATATAAAATCTGTCAGTTTTTCTCCAATACTTTACGCAATCGATTTACCGAATGCCTACGAGGCACGTCAAGTGGGAGCACGTGACATTCGAAAAAAAGATTTCACTTTTGTTTTCGTACGCGATGAAAGTAGACCGGTGGATAATGGCGGCCGACGCCCGGTTCCGAAGTAACACGACACATCAATTCAACGTCTACGCGTAAACACGCATACGGCAATGTTGATGTAAGAACGTCTGAACTCGTTAGCAACAGTCGCTACGTGGGCTTTCTTATTCCTCTAATTTTACACTTAGGAAGTCACTTCCGTATATAGAATTCCACGTTAAAGAAACAACGCTGTACAGTTAATGCCAGTCGACACGCATTCGTGACCAGCGCAATGCAAAACTTACACCTCGTCTATTTTATACTTACCTAAACCATTGAAAATTACGTTTCACTTTGTTCGTTATCAAAATCGTCATTACCTGTCATCTTAGTCTATATGTAAGATATCGTAAAATCTCAAAAATTATAATTGGCATAGTATAGTAATATTTTAATTATAATAATATATTAGCTGTAATAATATATCAGTACAATAACAAGCCGTTACGAACACATATAATCATGGGTTATTCATATAACATTGAGGTTAGGAACGTTCATCACTCTTATGAAACGATGACCCAGTGTCACAGGCATATCCAGAGTATTTTGTATGGACTGTTACCCTTCCTAAAAAGTACTTTCGAACCATCGATTTAATTTTTCATATTATTCTGTCCTTTTTGTCGAATAATTTTGTTTCACGCATAATAACACGTTTCCATAATGCATCGAGTAACAGGAATACTTTGGGTTGGCCTCCTTTTTCTTTTGCCATGTACTAGTAAGTACTATCCTATGGTTACCATTGTTATTATTTATTTTTGTTAATAATTACGTTGTTTGCCAAGGAAATTATGGTGTTTTTTGTTAATAATTAAATGACTATCGCGTTACGATGATTAGTATGGCGGAAGAGTACTTGTTGCATGTTAATTATGGTTCTTGGTTAAGTGGCCGCTAATGGAACAGATACAAAAAAATGTTCGTGTATTACATCATTGAAGCATATTGTTAATTGGACAATATTAAAATATGAAAGATCCACGTAGAAAGTGCTGAAAGAAATAAAAAGATTGTTTTTTACAAGCACGTCGAACGTCCGTGAGTAATCGGATATCGATTGGCTATCGATGGATTTTCAGAGTTACGCCTCAATTAATTAACGAAGGTTGCGTCATGCGTTAATTAAATTCATAAAATATTTACGTAACAGGATATGCCAATTTTTTCAATGGAACATTCATGCCGAAACTATTGTACTACCGTAGAAATATCGAGGACGGAATAACATTATCTACAGTATGACGTCATTATCATCATAACACTTTTATTCACGAACAATACAAACGGTATAAAAATAATAACTATAACGCCCGTTGCATGGATTATCAGTTATAATTGTTAATAATAAGATCTAAATTATAGCTAGAAATTAATGCTAATACACGAGCAATATGTACAATTAGGGTTTTCAACGACGTACCCATAGCTTTCAATAACGACTGTCTACGCCATTACGAATTTACGTAAGGATAGGGTTGCTCTCGTAATTGAAAAAGAAAGGGGGCAGAAATAATGGGCGACTGTAATAAATATTAATGAAGGACGGACAAAAAAATTTTTTTTTTTTTTTCTCGATAAACAGTCCCAGACCCTTTGTCTTCCGGCGTTATGATAATTCGAGAATTCCTAAATCATTCGCGTGATGTCTATTGTTTTCAAATTGCATTGAACGTCCGTGCATTAATCTGGCAAGGGACTCGTATGCCACACACGGAATGCACGTGGAAAGTCCTGCGCAACGTAGAGCCAGTAGAATGTCGTCCTACGAGCCAGACCACGCCAATGAAAGTACAAGCCAGTCAGACCATAAGCACGTTAACTTGGTTATTCCCAAGCATACTGAGTCCCCAGGTCGAATTACGTAACAAGGCACTAGATCGCGATTCGAATCGACAGTGGTAGCGTAGGACAAGGAAGCGAATGACCTTTGCGTAAATGCATTCGCGAATTTAAAAAAATGATTACGTTTCGCAAAAGTGGGCTAAAGCATGAAGAATTTACAAGCAGATACGCCCTGCTCTACTTTTGGTAATTCGTGACGCGCCGTGGGTGTATTACGTCAGAATACGAAATTACTCCAGAACGACATCTTGCGTGCGTGGCTTATTGCGTCAGGTAGGCTTTCACCGGTGGTTCCTTAAGGCGTGAGTTCAGGAAGAAATGGTGAGAGCGAGTCGATAGCCGTGACGAAGTAGCGTAACGAAATTAAAAGGAAAATTTATACGTGTATTTGGATTACCATATAACGCCGGAAGGGTTTGTCGATAGATAAGAAAATGGGGACTTGAAAAGATCGATTGGCGCATATCGCGCGAGACGTAGGTGTGAGATAAAAAATTAAACATAAATTGGATTACTGGAAGTAAAATAAAAAATTTTCGAAAAATAATTCCACGCACGTACCGGTACGTGATATGCATACGTTTTTCACTCTCGATTGTCTCGATGTGCATCGTTATATAATTTTCGTATCGTGTGCAAATGAACAGTATCGCGGTAATGGGATAAAAAAGGAGGAAATAAGTTAACCTAGGGATTTTCAAAATTAGAAGTTACCAGCGTGTCCACGAAGGAACTGATCGATCTGGCCAACGGAAAGTGGCGCAGCTTCTCCTGCCGTCGATTGGGACGGCGATACGTAATAGAAGGGCTGAGCGTCGCGCTGAGACTCTAACAGCTGAAACCTTTGTGGCTGTTGCTGGCGGCGTTGCTGCTGGGCGAAAAGATGCTGCGATTGCTGCAGGAGATCTGCCTGTTGCTGACGGTATATAGCTTCCTGGGGCTGAGAGGCTACCGCAGCCGAAGGCGCGGACTGCGCCGAGGCTGGTTGCCTATAGTGCTGGGACTGTTGCTGCTGCAGTTGCTGAAGACTCAGCAACGACTGTGGCTGGGCCACGTACGGTTGGAGCTTGTGACTCAGGCTGAAGTCGCCTACCGTCTGGGGTAACGTCTGGTAGAGTTGAGTGTTGTACTGACCAGTCGCGCGATCGAACACGAGCTCCGATTGATAGATGGGGTCTGCAGATGGGCTAGCCTTGAGCTTGCTGGGTACCGAGTTGGGCGAAGGTCGCGAGGTCACGCCGACAGTGTTCACGTAACGTTCGAGTTCAGCAGCAAAGTCTAGGTGGGGTGTGCTTGGGGTCGTGGTGCGTGCTGAGGTCGATGCTGAAGGTCGGGTAGCAAAAATGACTCCAGGTCTCTCGGTATTGCTGGGGGACGCATATTGAGCAGCTATCTGGGCAGCGTGAGGTCTGGGGGTAATAGCCACGGATTGAGGTCGTTGCTGAGCTGGGGCACGAGTGCTGCTATCACGGGGTTGATAAGTCGCAGGGGTGGGTTGGCGAGTACGATAAGCCGTGGCAGGGGTCGTAGGGGGTTGGTATTGAGGCGTTGCGGTCGTAGAGGGTCTGTAGAGGGGAGTCGAGGTCGGCGCTGGTTGGTACAAGGCTGAAGATGGGGAACCGGTTACTTGAACGTAAATAGGCTGCTGAGGTCTTCTGAAAGACGCTGAACTTGGCGTGGGCTTAGCTTCCTCCAGTTCCTGGCTCTGATCGTCGTCCAGCTCGTACTGGGTCTGGAAGATGGTGGTCGGTGCCCTGGTCGTAGTCTGCGGGTAATTCGGCCGGATTGGTCTCGGCACGGGACGCACGGATGGGTAATTCGCTGGTCCAGAGACTTCGTCCTGTTCCTGCTTCTGCGGTGGGTCGTCGTCCTCCTCCTTTGGCGCGTTGGGATCGCACGGATTTCCCGAGACGTAAGTGAACTCGCGCTTGTTACCGTCCGGATCGACGTATCCGTATTTCCCACGGACCACGCAGTCGGTTCCCCTCGTTTCCTCCTTGAAGGACCCATCGGCGGCCTCGTAGCCGAAAGTGAAAGACCCGTCGTCATTGACCTTGTTGTAGTTGCGGATGGTCTGCACGGGTGGTGCCTTGGAGGACTGTATGGTGTTCTTGGAACGTGGAGACGGGAGAGCCCGGGTTCGAGGCTGATACGCTACCGGTGCTGAATAGTCATCCTCTGCCGCTTGATTATCCTCATCCTCGTAGTAAACCTGGGGTTCCGTTACCCGAGGACGTACCTGCACGCGTCGCGCTTCCGCCAATACGAGAAGACACGCCGGGATCACCTGAGAAGCAACAGGAAAATGTATATTAAATACCTGAGAACATACCGGTAACGTTGCTGGGTACTACGCGCGTGACTGGAGTACCTGATGCAGTATTAGACGCGGGTCACTTACGAAAGCGAGTCGTTATCGCTCCACTCTTACTTTCCTCGCAGAACCCAATATGGCGTCTATCGATAAATATTTTTCATTGGTACCCAACTCAATTTTATACTTATCTTCACCTCAGAATTAATCTTACGGGACAGTCGTTTCAACTTCCATATACCAAACCGGTACCGGTATATACATGTATGGCGAATAGGAAGTAGATTGTGACAGTAAGAGAGAGTGTACTTCGCGGGTCGTTGAGTCCAGTACGCTTGCGACTGTCTGGACTGTTTTTAATAATAATATAAAAAAACCCTATTTCTTAGGGTCCGTATTAGAAAACCCAAAAAAATAATTTTTCAAGGTCCCAACTAAACATCACGAAACGGTACCCGTACCGTAACAAATTAACGACGGAGACTAAGAGAAACTTGGTGCGATGGCACCTCGAAAAATTTAATCCACGAAGTCTCTACGGACTTCCGGTATGGTCTGTAGTGTTAACAAGTCGGATTACGGTTACGTAACTGCATCACTTGGCCTGACCCGAATCCGGGCGAGGCTCGGTAGTCAAAGCGTGAGATTGAGATTCAGAGCCTCGTGAGTTCAAACAGTCGGATCTCCTTGAACCAAAGAATAGAGTGCACCACACCTTGTCTCGTGTATCCACATATGTCCGTACGAGACTAATATGTGAATAGCCGTGAGCGTGCATGGGAAAAGCTTCGGTAGCATTGAGACGCAAGGAAAATAATATTTAGTCATCCGAATAGCCTCGGTTCTTGATGGACCAGTTTGTAGGAAATATTAGCCTGGTAGCATCCTGAGATCAATAATGTATTTTCTCGTAGGACTTGTCGAGTTTCCAGCTGAAGAAAGTACGACAGACTGCAAGCGGGTTTCACGCAGTCAGACCAGAGAAACGAGTGGATTCGGATGAAGTCAGCGAGATCTCGGTGACCGTGTTCACGAGGTACCCGTCTAAGAGGAGCACCGGTTCGCAAGTAGGTTTCAGGGTAGGTAAGTTGTTATCTGCTCGGTAAGAGATGGCGATACGCCAGGACCCCTGAAAGCGTAGAATCTAAATGAGTTTACGGTCTGGAAAATCGTGACGGTAAGCAAGCTCTATAATCAGCGTTAAAGTAACGCTGGCTAGAGACAGTGAGAGGTATGGGCACATTCGGTCGATCCAGTTGGAAGCAATCGCTCAGCAACCACGCCTTGGCTGCTTCTAGAAATGCGCCTTTAGCTCTCAGGCGAAAGGAAGAATCGTGCCGGAGAGTATATATAACCTTAAGTCCGATATGCACGTGGAACTGCGATCGGCAGTCGTAAGAATTTCATAATCGAAGTTGGATCACAAATCGATCCGGAAATTGATACTTTTGCGGAAAGCCTCAAAGATAATGGATTTTAAACGAATTCTTTTCGTACAACGAAGACAAAGAATTTCACTCCGATCGTTACCTAAGATGAATCTCGAAAGTTGTGGGTTTTCGATGCCACTTGGGAGCGTCGAATTTCTAATAATTTATTTGGACAATCACGAGTGTACGATCCTTTTTATTTCACTTGCAATTAACGAGTGAACGAGGTAATTTCTTTTTAACCTCAATCACAAAGACCTGCTTCTCTTGAGCGGAGGATACGTGAATGATCTTCGTAGCTCAGCAAGCGCCAAAGATATTTCCTGTGGCCATTGAAGGAAGCCGAGTTTCCGCAATGGCAAGGACGGAAAAATGAAAGTGAAACTGGGTTTCAGTTCTCGCGTTCATTTACGGACAGCCACCTACCTACGTGGCTGCCTACCTGCCTACTTGACTACGGCGGTTCTTTGGTTGGCAATAAGTTCACAGGAGTGTAGAACTCTGTTTTTACGTTAACGTGAGAATCGATTAGAGCGTAGGTCGTTCGGTCGGTAAGGTAGATTCAATTTCTACATATATAGCAAATCGCTCGGATCCAAACGAATTAATTATTATAATTCAAAGGTCGAGCGTTATTGTTATAGCATATACATATATGTATCGAACGACCTTAATGATTCATGTAGATCCGTAATTCGTACCTGAAGATCGATCGATCACGTGGCTCGTTATTTCGTTTTTGCACTTCAGTTCCGCGTTCAAAATATCCCGGGCTATAAGATCTTTATTTTTCGCTTCAGCGGTCCTCGAAGCCATCGTAAATAAATTTCGTGGATCTTCACACAGCGAATTAAGATCCATAAAAATCTAATTAAATCTTCCGATTGTCAGTCGATCGTCGAAAGTGCTTTTCTCGATCTCTGAATCCAATTGCCACTTTCAAAACGAAAGATTTTGACCGCTGTGTCATCTGCCCAGTCTTTTTTAGCGGCAAGAGATACGTGTCGCCATCTACTTTTTTATTGCGGGTACATCGACCCGAATAAGTCTTCGTAGGAAGTAAGAAGTCATAATGTAAAAGCTTTTTGTTTCCGTTATGATTTCCTCAGCCAATCAACCGTCGACGATCGGTAAATACAGCTGTTTACATAAGTACGTAATTACAGCCTCGGACCACATTTCGTAATTATTTTTTTTTACCCCAAGACTCTTCTTACAGTAACAAAGAAGAAATCGGGTGAGTAACAGACTAATTTACTGATGAACCCGTCATGACAAAAAGGGATGATAAAGTTTCGAATCCGGAGCGACAAGCGTAACAGCACGAATCAGCACGCGAATCGATACGTGGCTGTTGAGAATCGATAGCTGTCCAGTTGACTTGCACCACGTGCACTTACCTATTATTTGTGGTCAACAAGCGAAAATCCATTATTGAATTTCTTGTTAAACTGTCGAACCAAGGCGCGGGACATCGATATTGAGAATGGGGTATGAATGGACATTGAGAAGCGGACGAGAGCAGATAGCGAGGTGCATACACACGTGGACTAGACAAATGGATCGCAGCAGTGTAAAAGTCGAAAGCTGGACGAGAAATCTATGCGCATTCTCTGGGAAAACAGAAGGAAAGTTTAACGGCATGGAAATTTAATGAATCGCGATACACATTGCTGAGAGGAATCGATCGAATCATCAAGGCGTAGACGCGTGACAGAGATGCAATGGGCGGGTATGCAAATCGTTCGACAAGGCAAGGACGTTCCTGGTTACATTGCTGCATAAAAGCATTGCTCGACGCCTTATGGCAATGGTCCCGTGGTTCTTGTTATTCGCAATGACAAATTCACTTGGGTTATACGCATAAGTTGGGCGTAATTTTTGTCCTGTTTTTGTTTGCTATTGCCACTGGGCCTTGAACTTTTTTGCATTACCTGCACGCGATTAAGTTTCCGTTTACGGCTCTATTCACGGCTGTTGTATGGCAAAATGTTTTTACGACAATGACTAACGCTTTTGGCAGTGATCATTCGGGGAGAAACGGCCGTAGGCCAAGCTAGCAGATTATTGACCAGTCATCGAATGGAATCATCAGTCCATGATGATAATACAGCAGAATTCGATAGCAGCTATTTCTAACGTTAGTCCGATGGTACTAACGTTAGAAATTGCTGCTATCGAATTCTGCTCGATTATCGTTGGCTTTGATATTGAGTCATCGTGCCAGTCACGTGGTCGCTTCTTGGGTGTCAAGTATAAATCATAGTCATCGATCGGTTTGGAAAATCGGCAAAAGTTGATAAGATTTTTTTTTCTTTCGTTTTTTCAGGATGCTCTTTTTTACTTTTTTACTGTTAACTGAACCAGTTAACGCCAATGATCGTTTGTTTACCGATGTGTTTGGCTACGAGGAAAGTGCAAGGGCCAATGATAATTTAAATCGTTAGCCTCGCTTTCGCAATCCAATGCTCCCAGTTTTCTCCGTCATTGATTTCTAAGAGGGAACTAGGTCTTGATGTCAACGTATTGAAAATCGATGATCTTCGGTATGACGGGCACGTTTTGACGTTTCAAACGGTCAGCTGCATTGATCGTCATTGCGATTCGGCGGATGGAAAGTCTTTCAAAAGAATTAGGCGCGAGCACTGATACATTTTAATTACACTTTTATCGAGTCTCGATGAACAATTAGCGCTTATGTAAAATTTAATGGTCTCAGAGGCATCGTGTGAAATGTTTAACTTTTTTATTCAATTCCATCAACCGCAATGTCAATTTGTTCTAGGAACTTTTCTATGCACGTGCGAAAGTACAAATCACTAGATCGTTTTATGCCGCTACAAGCTGTATCCTAGTTTTCGTTTTCCTTCATTGTCGCATTTACTATTTCGCCTGTTACAGGCAAACGCAATCGTGTATTTGGACGCTTATGGAAAATGACAATAAGACTTTCGCTTTTTATCTTGAAAACAGTTTAGGAACACGTATTAATTTTACGGTACCCTTTCGCCACATTATTCATAGGGAACTTTCTTCGTACCGAACGTGGCACCACGGTGTTGCGGAACTAAATTAATATTAATGATAGTCAAACACGATGTCATGGAACGTCGCACCTTAAGAAAGTAAAACTGGACGTTCATCAGTGATTCGCAAATCACTCGTTGCTATTGGGCAGACTCGAAACGAGATCGGTTTTTTTCTTTAAGAGCTCTGATGCTGTTAGATGTGAACGAAAGCTCATTAGGGGGTCAGAGGTCGGTCTTACAAAGGTGACTACATAAACATGACAAGTAAATCAGAGCACGTGGGTTCTTACGACATATTCATTATGATGTAGTACCATGGATCGATGATAGATTAATTTTTGATTAACAGACTTTTTTTTTGAATGGAGAAATTTTCGAATTAAACTTTGCAACGGGATGATGGTTTTTAGTTTTGGACTTAAAATTGAAAAAAAAAATTAGGCAAAGAAGGAATATAGGTATTCTACTTTTTACGAGTGGAAATTCAACTTTTTTTTTACACAAACAAAAATTTCCTAGAAATTCGAAAGTTCATTGTTGTTATTGATAAAAGTGAGAAACGAGAGCGTAAAATTGCATTGTGATATTTTCGACGAATTTAAGAATCGGGAACGTGAGATTCTTTTATATCTCGAGGCTTATTGTGTTGGTAACTAGATACTAACAGGTGTACCAGTGGTGTATTTAATTTCATGTTATATTTCATTTCCTATTAAACTATACTCGCTCAATGAGATATATCAAAGTAACAAACATGGCCGTTCGTAAGCCTACAAGGCCGGATCCAATGTAAAGCGGAACATAAACTGCGAAGAAGGGAAAGGCAAGCAACGCACTAGAACGTTCCAAGCAGTCTCGCGAGAAAAATCTTTCGTTAATAATAAAAATAAAATAAAAATGTATTCATTTAAAGAAAAGTTACAAATTTTGAATCCCTCCCCTCCCATCCCAAAAAAAAGTTGTAGCGACGTTATTACGACCCCTAGTAAAAAAAATCATAACCTCTTATTACCACTATTACAAAAAAAATACTTAAATTACCTATTCTATCGTTGTAGATTATTGGAAAAATTATTAAAAATTTTGGAAAAAAAAAATTTTGATTTTCCTACCAAGAATATTCCATTTAAAATGTCCTATTCTTACATTATCCTCTGACATAACATTTAAAACTAAAGTGTCACTTACCAGCAGTATAATCCTCATGGTGAACTTTTTTGCGCTAGTGGTGGTTGTCGTCCAAGAACGGTCCTCTAAGAGTTTCACTAAGAGAGTGCAGCCGGATAGTACCGACACGGTCCTTTATAACCTATACGTAGCTTTTGCGAATAGTGGGGGCTTCTTGGACGTCTACTACGAGTCTTCGGCTATAGCAAAGCCTGAAACTGGGTTCTCATAGGTGGCATTGGCCATTGCCAAACCCATCCAAGCATGGACATTGCCAAATGATCATCGTAAATGCTCGTAACGTATCGGTACAATCGACGACAGTTGCACCAATAACTAGTTCTAAAAACTCACACGTGGCGGCGGATGCAACTGGTCGTGTCAATAGGTTACGGATATCGTGAGAAAATGAATAGATGTAAAAATAAAAAAAAAACTTCTTCCACTACATTAACATAATTTCCTATATGTTTTTCTCGTTCGTTACATCCGTAACGCGTCCGGTGATGATTCATAAATTATTACGACGATAGAAAAGACCTCGGCAAAATATGTACATATTAAATGATTACCAGTGTGGGAAATAGTTCAATGAAATGATCGTGCGCGAAGATTAAATTGGTTTTCGTGGAGCTTCGTTCGTTGCCGGAATTTTCAAGGGTTTTAATATTTTATTTCAACTTTTACATATATATTGTAATACACGTACATAATTTTTATAAATGTATATCATTATTATTATTTCCTACGAAACTGGACGTAGTCGAAAAACTAGGTCACGTAGTTTTCAACTTGACTACTCTCACCGGAGAAATTCATCATATCCGGTTTATACTTGACCGCTTATCAATGAAGAAATTCTGTGGATGGATGAGTGACCGAATGTTTTTACTCGTCTCAGTGATGATACCAACGTTGGATCATCCATGATTCCCGTGGTAGTAGACAGCGCTAAATTCAGTCAGACACTCCTATGGACGCTGCCATGTAAAAATTATTTATCTTGTAACCCGGAAAGAAATGTTAAAAAAATAATCAATAAATACCGAAAGTATTCCCATAGCATAAATCGTGAGATCAATCGATGGCTTTCTTATTGATATGACTACCGCCTTATTGTTTCCGGCACGTCATGGGTCAAAGACTCGTAAGGTTTTAGATAACCGGATCTCCTCTTTCACTAATGGTTAACAATAAATAATTTTTTTCGCCGTTCAAACCTTATGGAGGTAATAAATTCTGGACTGGAGTCACGATCCTGTTACGTCATAGGTCCACGAACTGTCCGAACGGCAAATCCGTGATGATTTAAAAAAATTTCTTTTAATTGGTCCATTCAATGATTTTATTCTCAGAACGTGCGCCGTGGACATTGAAATTCGTATCTCAGCATTGAACTTAATCTTACAAATTAACTGCATTTGCTCGCAGTGGCCTAATAGCATTATCCATTATCTGTCATGATGATCGACTGGAATTATAAGGTATTCCCTCGGTACGAGACTCACGTAATTACTAACACGTACTGTTACGCAATATGCGAATCTCCGATACGAAGTTTAACCTGCGGGTAGGAACGCCGTGATGTCGGTTCTCTTGAAAAAAAGAAAGAAGAAGGTCGACCCATGTGTAGTAACGGTTACGTGGAACAAAGGTGCATTATGACATGATTGTCTGGTCCGATGCCAGAGAATTATATTGCGACTGTCCCGTAATTGTGAACGCACCTTTCGTGCTAACTTGGGTGGAGTCGTATGCTCGATTGGGTCGATCAAGTTTCATGGAGAAAAGTGCAGATCACGATGGACGAGTGCCAAGAGATTTCGACTGGACCAAATTTGGATGACAGCGATTAAAATCGGTGGGATACATAAAGAGGGTGGTACCGAGTACGAAGCCGGAATTAAATAAATGCATATGTAAATTTATGGTATGGGAATTTTGGAATGGCAAAAATTTTTTAAAAGTAGGAAATTTGATATACTGAAATTTACTCCTCGTTGTGCAATTATTAGCAAGGTAGGTTTTGTGGTAAGGTATGTCATTAACTGATACACGCATTGTTCTTGTCTCTATAGGCTTGTAATGAAGACTGTTTAATTAGTAGCTGCGATGCAAAGTGTGGGAATCTTTATTCTGACTGCCAAAAAGTAACTGAGACAGTTGCGAGGTCGCCAAACGCTGACGTAAGATAATTTATTCCGTGGGAATTTTTCGTCTTTCGTCTGTCGGTTGCGTAATTCTTCCTCTGGGATTGGCAACGAAGCACAATACGTTTGTTGTTCGCAGCTGCAATCGGTTATACAGGGACGTCGGTCGGGTTGCCTATCTGCAGGCTCGAGGTTAAAACTTCTACTGTCAGTTGCTACGCGCGAAAGTGAATTCAGCGTCCATTGTCATGAATAACAAAGTTATTCAGAAAGTGTTTTATATGGGATATAAGTAAGCAGAGCTTGAAATACGTAGCGAGTCAATTTACTGTCTTGCACCGATACTTGCCGTCGTGCAGGGGCATTATTTATTGTTGGTTTGTTAATTGTATTTACGCGTACAATTCTCAAGGTAGATAGATGATAAATCTCAAGAAGGATTTAGAAACGCGTACTAATGATCGTAGAGGTAATTTTTTAATGATGAAACGGGCAATGAAATTTTTTTTTAAATTTGTTGATATTATTCTCTCGGGACTGTTTTCGAATTATATAACGAAATTAAGCGTATTAAGCGTAGTCGGAAGGTAGTCATTACCACAGTTGCTAGCACTGTGTTATCATGTAATGTTTTAACCATTATAAAATATGTTATATTTCACATAATTAGTATCTAGTGCTTGTTATAAATTTATATTTAACATACTTTGAGTTATATAAGCGTTTCTTGTTTGGCACCTAGTAGCAACGATCGCAACAAAATTTATAACAAAAATGAAGTACCACGTGTTTGACGTATTTCACATTCCGAATTAAATTCAACCTAAATACTTAGGCCTTGTATTTTGCAACTCTACCGTATATCGTTTTGAAATTCATTAATTATCATTCGATTGTCAAATAACGTGGGTGTGCACCCCGTTAAACCCAAATTGCGTAAGGCAAGGTAAATTAATTAACATCGTTGACGCGTTAACCGATATCAAAGAGAAAATCGTTATTTTTGTCCTGCAAAATACTTGCTGCACGCGTTACGAACGTTTGACTGGTCATAGCTACGAGCAAGTCGACCACACCCTCCTACCTTTCTCATAATATCAGAGTAAATTCAAAGTTTAGTCGTGTAATTTTCTGCAATTTGCTTCCGCATACTGGACACGCACATCGCGCTGAAAAAAGGTAGTCTATATACCAGGCACCGAGGAAACATCCTACGGCACTTACGTAGTGTAAACAAAAAGCTGAACCGATCATCGAGTGAAATTGAAAGTGTCTCAAACAGTGCGTACGGTATAGAAGAATGGCCGAAGGAAAAATTGGAACGAAAGAAAACACAGATAATATTTTTTGGAGAAACGAACGAAAAATACATAATAATAATTTTCGACTTTCTTTATTTCGATTTAACTGCATTATCGTAACCTAATAGTAACAGTAAGCGTCGCGGAACACTTAGTCTATATAACACATCACAGAGCCGCCCCGCAAAAGAGGGCCACGCCGTAGTCACGTAAAAAGTTGTCCCTCTTGAATCGATGCGTATAAGGGTTGTAATTGGGTTTCCTTGGAACAATAAAATTAATAGTATCCAAAGCTGATATCGTGCAGGGGTGCGGCTCCACCCTGAGGAAGAGCGTAATCCCTCGCGAGCTGGTCCAGGATCCCACCACTCTGACTACGGGCCTGTGGTTGATGAGAGCGTTGGGGTTGAGAAGGGGCCGAAATTGGGTTGAACTGAACTGGACCCTGATTTTGCTGTTGAGCAACTGGACTGGGCTCCTCGTAAACGGGCCTCTGACGTGCTGCTGGTCTTGGTGCCGAATAAGCGTCCTGGGGTTGAGAAGCGAAGGACTGAACATGAGATTGGGGCAGGGATGGTTGTGCAGCTGGTGTGAAAACTGGTGGTTTAGGTACCGAAGCACGTGCACGGCTCTGGGGGTTGTAGAAAGCCTGGGTGTGAGACTGAACCGGCTGGGCAGGAGCTTCGTATTGCGGTTGTTGATAAGTTGGTTGTTGATAAGCTGGTTGTTGACGTGGAGCGATAACTGGTGCTGGTCTGGCAGCAGCGCGTTGAGGGGCAGGTCTGGCAGCTGGTTGCTGGTAATCGTAATCCTGGTAGTTCTGAAGTGCCTCCTTGCTGGTCGTCTCGTCTACGAGGGTTGGTGGTGCGACAGTGATGCCTTCGCCAGCTGGTTGAAAACCGTACTGGTTCGCGCCGTACTCAACAACGCGTACCTTGCCGGTGTCATCGACGAAACCGTATTTGCCCTTGACCTCGCCGGTGGGCAATTTCGTTTCGATCTTGAACGATCCATCAGCACCCTCGAAACCGTACGTGTAAGAGCCGTCCTCGTGGTGCCTGTTGATCTGCTTCAAAATTGCTACGGGGGTTGGTTTTGGACTGGAGGCTGTTGACTGTCTTTGCGCTGGTGCTGCCGCGGGCGAGTAACTTCTAGGGGTTGGATGAGCTGGTCTCGGTGACTCGTAGTCGGAGTACTCGTCAACGTAGTTGGCACCTTGTTGCTGGTACTGCTGACATGACACTGCGGTCATGGCTGCTGCCAAGGCCAGTATCTGAAAGCCATTAGAGATTAGGATTACCTTAGATCTTTGTTGCGACCAAGAATCACCTTTGACGTTTCTAATCGTTAAAGTTTCTTCCTGCCAATTTGCACGAAGTGCACAATCGTTTATTTGATATCAATCCACAATTTTCGTTCGTCGCTACGTTCGCCCGATGTATTTCGTAAATGGGTTCCGCGATTGACATTTGCTGGGACGGTCTCAACGATATTTTCACTTGCGTGGGAATGGAGAATTTCGTATCAAATCCTTTCGAGGTTAGCGAGATCTCCGAGAATCGTGAGAGACGACGATTGTAATCCATATCTTGAAACCAGAATTCACGAATACCTTTCAGCACGTAGTATAAAAATAAGAGTTTTATAACGTGCAATAGAATTGAGGTCGGCGCAAAGCAGTTCCATAGGAACGTGCTAACGGCAATGCTTTTGTGGCAGCAAAACTTTGTCAACATATCGAATGATTTCTCGTAGCACTGTTAAATTTTCAGATTTTCCATATTGCAATTTTCCCTTGTACCCGGCTGGTTAACAAAAAACTGAAAGAAGCCGCTAACCTACACGCGCAACGCGTCGAAGTATTATAAAAGAAATGGAGTACGGTTTAGTTTCTTGCAATTGTTTATTGCGTTGCAATGCGAAACCAAACGTGCAACTGATGCAATGATAAGAGTGACAAAATCCTGTTGAGAAAAATATCGCAAAAAGACTAGTATGTTAAAAAAAAATCATATCGTGCAAAAGTTTTTTTTTTTTTTCCTCTCAAAAAATTAATCCGTCACCGTCCAAAGTGGTTTGTAACATCAAGGCCGACACGATATTAACCACAGTGTCGAGGAAAACAATAAAAATAATGCCGACCAATATACTTTCACATTAAAACCGTAATATAACATGTACGAATGAAAATGTCTCCTTTTACAATAAAAATCACGTCTTTTTCTCTTGCTATTTTAAATACTACTATAAACCTTAACGACTAGGTAATGCGTGACTCTGTGGCCCGTTAGTGAAACCTAAACCACTGAACTCGATTTTATTACAACACACCGGTTACCTAAACCGCACACGAAGGATACCAATTCCGCGAATAAACATCTCCAGAGAATTGATTAGTGCAATCAGAGCATGGACTAGAATCCACTCGGAGACTAAAATTCCATGTAAATATCCAAAGATGAAGAACCCACAAGCAAAATGATTGCGTAATACAATTTTTTTTTGTAATTTCAACAAAATCAAAATATTTTTCGTATCCAATTCGCAGACAAAACGATTCACTGATTTGGACAATTTTACAGCAACGATATCCACCCGTATCCAAATTTGACTTCCGGTGCACAAAATCACATCACAACGATATTACGCGAATTCACTAAGTCACACACGGCGCTAACTTGGATCATTGATTCCTTGCGCGTAATAAAATTTACAAAATTCAATCTAAACCGAACCGATTCACAATACGTACCGTCACGAGGGTGCGCATGGTGGCCAGTTCTTTTTTTTGCGTCCGAGAGTATGTTGGCAGCGAGGCTAGAGTACCGACCGGGACTCGAACCGAGGCCCTCATATACCTTACTGGGCCCCTGTCCCTACTCCTGGCATCCCCTACTGACTTGTGAGTACTTTCACTGTCTATTCGACTTGATTCGATTCTTATTCGTCCAGAGTCGCCTTGTCTGTTTAGAGCCACTTTGTACAGCCTAAATACAGCCCTCTGCCTTAAGTCCAGTTTCTAAGAAATTTATCTCCGCAGATCGTGTATCACAATTTTTTCCCTCACGCCAGTTCAATAATGGATGAAACTGCATTGACCCGATACCACGTTAGGATAATACATAACTACTTAAACATGAAAAAACAAATATTTTTTTATCATACGTAAAAAAAAATTTATGTCCGTCATACATTTTTCTGATACTTATATGGAATTTCTGAAATCGTCTATATTAATATTACAGAGTTTATCATTCGAAGTGTGTCAACCGGTAAACTCGGCACGCGGCGCTTTTACTTGGCACCGATTACAAGAGTGGAAGCGGAAAACCTGTATGTCGTAGAGAAAAATATTCGTTCGCCCTATTGATAGAATTCAACAAGACACATTAAAATATAATATTTGATAAGCGCGAAGAACATGAGTGACCTTTTTGTTCGTAAACGAATTCACTCGGTATACTCCATTTTCTTATGGTATTAAAATGAATGAATTTACTCGAACGTAAATTAGCAGAGAGAGTATTACCCAACTATGAAATTACGATCTTCCATGAAGAGATTCATTATTGCCCAAGGACGTTACACTTTTTATTTACTCGTGTATTATTTTGTCACGAACTTTACGTTACGCTACAAATATAATTGAAATGATACGAGCGGCGTTGGAACCGAACACGGAAATCTTTAGTTTCGCAATAAAATGATGTAACCAACTGGTAGGTCGATGTAGGCTTTTATTTGGATATGTTTGATCCGATATGTGTATATATATGTATATCTAGTCAACGGAATCATTTTTTCATTTCGATTCAAGAATCGCTATCAACCGATACGTAAAATCCAAGTATTATAAGTAAAATGCGAATACTTCCTAGAAGAATTTGAGTGTGGTATAAAACAAATTGGAATGTACATTCCGTCATAAACGCGGAAGGCCTAGAAACAAAGAGTACGACACAGCCGCCTTAAGAATCGATATTCATGGATCGTCGTATTTTTACTGTGTAAAAGTAACGAGACATTAAAAATTATGGAATTACGTAAAAGTGAAAAAAAAAAGTGTAAGTAAATTTAAAACACAAGTCGTGGGAAAAGAAGTCGTATCGTCATGGTGACATGACCCGGGCAAAAGTACAGCTTGATTAATACAGTTGATCGATCAGAGTAATGCGGTCTACGCGTTTCTTAATTCCGGTAAGATCCCTAGAGGAAAAATATAAATCATAGATCCCTGTTACGTTATCCTAATAGAAATTTGAGTATCAGGTGTTTAGGTTCTTGAAGAATAAATAATTTTGAGATAGCAGCCATTTTTTTTATGTGATTCAAAATTTGTCGTCTTTACCTCAATGGACTCGTAAATATTAATTCTCAAAATTGTGCCAACCCAAAATTCCTTGTATAGCACCAATACCAAAATTATCTGACAGTAGTATCTCTATGTGTTCATATACACTAGTGTGTGCGATTCGATCCACTTGCAATTCTACCTGCAAATTGACAGACACACTAACAGACAACTGGTTTTGGCGATTTATTTTACGTAACGTATAGATCTCATAACAGCTGTATAACAGCTTAGAGTACGGTTCCAATTGTGTCCGAGAGCCGAGACTCGGTCCACGAAAGAGAAAGGAGAGTGATAAAAAGGTTTGGTGGTACTCCAGCACGGTAACCGGCGACAAGGCGATAGTCAAAGGTCGCATATATATATATATATACATATTAATACGATTAGTTGTGTGAAATATGAGTGTTATCAAAAAAAAAAAAAAAAGAAGCAAAATTGTAGGAACCAAGACGAATATCACGTAATCAATGTTTTATTTGGTACCACCTTATCTCGATATACCCTGAAAAGCAAAGAGTGTACATAACGACGTAATGATTAAAAAGTAAAATTTTTTCATCTTCAATAACAATTCGCTGATAAAGAGGTATAAAAGGAGTTGTTGACTTTACAAACCAATGATCGATATCTTTGATTGATTATTTGAGATGATTTTATAAATGACCCATTTTTGGTCTCTGAAGCAATGGAAAGTCAGGATGTTACGTAGTTGACGTTTGAGATAAAAATTAATGTTTAATTTCACTGGTAATAAGCGTGAGGATTGTTAAGCTAATTTTTTAACTGTACTGTACTGTATATCATAAATACATAATTCTTTATGGTACTTAACGTCGAAAGTTACTGGCACTTGTTTCTCTATGGAAGCTCGTACGTTTATGCCTATATGATTCTTTGGGTGTTAAAGGAACTGGGCTTCGGCTCTCTATTCCTATAGTTTCTACATACATGCGTTTACTTCCGAACATGTAACAAGAATGGTTACACGTACCGGGTAACTTTTACATAATTCGTTGCATGAAAACGGAGGAATTTCTTAAGAAATCGTAACTCAAGAACTGGTTTCAAATTGAAAATAGGAAAAAGACGGGTTCGTAAGAATTAATGAAAAAATTGAAAAAAAAATATTTTTTCAAAATATATAAAAATACAAAATCGTACCGTACAATTCGCTCAAATCGTTAAAGCTCGGATATTTCAACGATCCGTATCCGCTTTGGGGAATCGAACTGGACTTGAAGTCCGTGAGGCACGAAGAAATCGTGACATTGAAAGAAGTAAAGAAAAGAGCAAATCCCATTTGACTCCGCGAGCCTCCACCCAACGGCAAGGTCGAACTTTTGCCACGTTTTATACGATTGTGCGAATCGAACCGCAAGAAATCGACTTGGCAACCGCTCAGACCACTGCAGATTCTCTCTCGTAAAGTTGTGACTGGTATGATTCCCAAGCGATCGCCGTTTTCACACGATTATTTGCGAAACGGCGAGAGCGTGGTGTCTGCCGCGATTGCACAATTTTTCTCGATGAATCGTGCCAGATTTGCGGTTTCTTTGTAACGCGTGTCAAAATTATGCATTTAACGTTATAAACTTTTCCCCTGCTGACATCGCTACTGCAGTGCCGTAACCCCGATACAGTCAGCGCAATAATGATTAAACCTTTTTTTACCTCCCCCCCCAACCCTCCCTTAACACCAATTACGATTACCGAAAGAATCCCTCCTTCTGGAATTTGCAATATTTCCAGCGACGTCGCAACGCCCCAATTTCAAAATCCCAAATAATCGATCTCGATCCACTCCCACTGATTACGATGGGATCGATAATCAATAGAATCGACTACGGCGACCTTTCGCATTTTTTTAATCTAGCAACTTCATTTCGAAAGGGGTTCCTTCTACCGGTACACGCCCCTGGATTTCTACAATGGTGAAAGGACCTAACGCTAAATTTTGAATATTCAGTCGTCCCGTGTAACACCGTTATACCCATGTGTCATTCACAGTGAAACAATACAGTGAATTCTGTACATCCGTAATCCGACTGTTCCAAATCTTCCCTAGCAACAGATTCGGTTCATAAAATCATTCCCTATAATATATCTTACGTGCAAAGAGACTTTACTGCCCTTTCAGACGCGTAGGAACGTGCGCGTGGGTGCATAAGCGGAGCAAGATCAGAATGCAGCAAAGAGAAGCAGACTGCCCAGACGATAAGACAAGTCTGCAGGATGCAGACAGACATTTTGTAGGAAGGTATGCAAGGTCTGCCGAGGAGATAGCTGGCTGCGGCCAGTTGGGTAGCCAGCCAGGAACCCTGCCTTTCACACGTAACCCACCGGAGGAACTGGCAAAGCCAGGCCAGCCCTGACATTTACGTATATAGAACGGGTCGCGGGCAAATTGGATCGTCCGTATCCCGAAGCACGGAATATAGTGTATGGTATGGACGCAGGGAGAAGCTTCCTCTGATTTAGTATACTTTCTAAATTTTATGTAATATTTAATACGTAAACTGGATCAGTATAGATTTCGATAGACTAATCAAGTATGCTTATGGTTCTGTACACGGTTAACTGATCTGATGGAAATTTGTATTAGGTAAGGTATATATATGAATTTTGATACTTGTATCGAATCATCATGATCATTAGTCAGTATTGTTCAATCATTCTTCCTATTGACTTTTAACGATTATAACGGATTGAAAAAATTTTTATCGAGGATACAGGAAGTACTTGCACTCTGATGTTGATGATGAAGGACTAGGTGAGACAGTCATGCGTATGCTCTAGATAGGTATTTTATTTACGTAAGAAGCTCAAGAGAGAAAATCTTGCTACGAGTTGTGAACGCTGACTAATTTATTTATCAGGCCAAGGTGCACGGAATCATTTCTCCCGTTTCTTCTCAGACGAGGAATCAAAAGGACCGCTCATTTACACTTGGCTTTGTTAATTATCTAATATACGTGTAAATATTTATTTATCGTATAGTATAGTCAATATACTTGGATATTACAGCTAGAAAAATTTAATTAGTCTTGCCAAACTTAAATTGATAATTTTCAATTTTCAATGTTAAAGAAATGGACCAGGGCTTTTTTCAATTTGCGTGATATGGTAAATATATCGGTATAACAAGTTATATACGTAACGCATTATTTATGTGCATAAACGAAAGCAGCTCCCAACAGAGTAGACGCTGGCTATAGTACGGCGCACCACGCCTTGTATCAGAATGCACTCAATGTAACGTAGAGTAGTGCAAGAATATCGACATTGATCGCCTTCAGGGAAAATTGTCGCGATCGCGAGTTCCGCGTGATTAAAGGATAATTAACGTCAATGGTATTAAGACAGATTGTATTCAAGTTTGGTATAATTCTGGTCCACTGTATATATTATATACCGGGGAACGAGAGAAATTTACCTAATTTCTTAAGAAAATTTACGAGTAAAGAGTAGGGAATATTATTGTGAAAGGTAAGGTTCAGTGGCCCGTGAAAAACTTTCCGTGCATACTGTACCTATAGATATACGTAATGTACATGTACAAAGTATAAACCTGTTGCTCCTACGATTCAGGATCAGATCATTAATATGACCTCGAGAAATGGTTCCTGCTATACCAGACAGATGACTGTGCAGGATCTTAAACTAATTTTATAACATCAAATGTTTCTGCTACCTTCCCGAAAGTCATTTACGATAGCAATACCAGTGTAATCGACCTTAGGATCTACGTAGGCAGCTCGATTGTAAATTTCGTGTTGATTGTACTTTGCGAGAAAAAAAAATTCATAAAAATTCAGGGAGGTATATTTATTCTTGCAGTCTTCTTCCAAGTATAAAGAACGGATGTGGATATTCTCAAGATGATAGTCATCACGGTCGACTTACGTATAAGTACAAGGTAATAATGGTAGAGATAGCGGCAATGGCGAAGACAGTAATAATGGATGAAATTCCAGGGTGTGGCAGAAACCTGGGCCCACTGACCTTCCTTGCTAGTCCGGAAAAATGAGACTGGTATTCTCGACTAGCAGTGGACAAAGGTAGCTGAGCGACAAGGTCGCGCATTTTAAAGCAGCAGAAAAGACACAAAAAATTATGTATAGCAATCGACGTCGTCTCGACGTAAAGTTATTGGTAGTGTACGCGCATGGGTCCATACGAATTCTTTTTTTCTTCGCTTCAACTTCCTTTTATCTCACTATAGCCAAATTCCCTCTCTCCTTTCGGGCAACGATAATACCGACTTTTACTCCTTTTTACCTCTTTGCGTAACCACGCGTTGGCGTTTCCGTGTACGGTTTGACGCAGTGGGCTTTTCTGATAGCCGATAGCCGTGTTGGCGCGATTTATTATACGTAACGCGTATACGAGTCCACATAAGTGATCCTGAGAAAGTTATAACGAAATTTGCTCGTTGGAATTAGAACAATTTTTCGTTAAGTTGCCAAACTATTTTTTTTATCGGTAATTACTCGACGATCAATCATGTTACATGAATTAGGTGAAATTATCATAGTTTATATTACGCAATTATTTTGTCAAGGCTGCTCGAGGTCGACGAAATCTGACAGATCGCTTAGATTAAAATACTTGTGGAAAAATTTGAAGGATTTTTGATAAAAGATTTTTGCAAAAGCTTAATATTCTATTGAGGTCTTTGCAAAGTTTTACAAGTCTGACAATGTAGTATCTCACTATTGGTTTCCGAGAAGTCAATGAACGAGAGGTAGTATCGAGAGAGAAATTAATGAGGTATAAGATGATTAATAAGTAGCATAATAAATGTCCTTTTAAATACGACAAAAGGACACGTGTGAAACGTCTATGGGATTTTAAGGTAATTAACTCAATTTGTTGAGTTTAAATTTCCCGCGCCTTTCTCTTACTAAAATCAAAGATAAATATAACTATGTACACAAAGGACTTTTCAAACGCATCCTGACTCCTTATCGTTTGTAGTTCACGGAATAAGATCCACTGTTGATATCGATATTGGAAGCTGGATGGCCTTGGAATCTGCTCTGAGGTATAGGAGCAGGTGCCGAGTACTGAGACGGTTGATACTGAGGCTGTTGATACTGTTGTTGATACTCAGGTTGATACTCAGGTTGATACTGTTGTTGATATTCAGGTTCGACCGGTGCTGGTTGATTGTAAGTAGCAGGTGGGTTGTATCTGAAACAAGAGAATGTATTGAGTTCACAGTTAACAAAGTCTCCTTAAGATTCAAGTAGCGTTCAGAACTTTCAAACGATTCACTTGACATTTTCCTATTTTCGTATCTAATTGCTCCTACATTCTCAGCAATAGAAATGACTAGTTCGAGTCTGAAATGAATTTCGCGTTCGAACGTATCGTATGAAAGTATTAAAAGGAATTTCAATGATCTAACCTGGCTGGTACCGGGTTGTACGCAGGTGCAGGTGGCGCTGCGGGCTGTTGATATCTTTGTTGAGGTGGACTGTAAGCTGGCTGTTGATAACGCTGCTTAGGTGCAGGCTTGTAATGTTCACCGTTAGTATATTTCGGATCGGTATAATAAATCGACGGATCTTCACGATACTGTCCGTCGTCTTGGGGATCGTTCGGTCCAGCAATACTGTTGCCATTTACGGTGGGTGGTGGAACGTTGATTCCACTTCCGGCTGGCTCGAAGCCACGTCGCGAAGCGCCATATTCAACTTCACGGACGCTACCAGTGTCGTCAACGAAGCCATACTTTCCATAGACTTCGCCGGTTGGGTACTTCGACTCTATCTTGTATGATCCATCGGCTGCTTCGTAACCGTAACTGTAGCTGCCATCCTCGTTGTGTCTGTCATGCAGGGAAATATATTAGTATAAATTTTTATATTTTCTCAACAGACCAAATTTCCTATTTATAGCACATGGACGACTCACCTATTTATCTGCTTGAGAATCGGCACAGGCGTCGTTGTTGAATACTGATTGTTGTATTGCGGAGCAGCCAGACTTGCGCCGACGAGGAAAAACAGCACCTTCGACAGATCGAGTCAACCACATTGAGCTAACAGTCAGGATTCAATGAGAATTCCGATACTTTCTAAATGAGAATGTAGATACAAAGGATCCTATATGCTTTATGAATAATGTATAGCCATGAAAGACATTTTCTGCACTAGGAGAAATTACCTTCTTTTTGGAATAGATGCTCACGCGGAACAATAGATCTTTTGAAAAATTGCATAATTTTCCTAAAAATACCCGCGTTGACTAGCAAGTGGATGATTTCGAAATGACAGTATGGATTCTTAATGCTTTCTACGCGAGACTCATTGTCAACAGTGACATCTTTATGTAGGATAACGGTTTTTAGCTCAACATAATTTGGTTAGTAAATCCAAAAAGAAAGTTTTTTTTTTTGCAAAATTACTCACGAGGAGCCGCATGTTGTTGATGAGGCAGTGGTGGTTGTATTATAGGATCGCGTTACTCGCTCCGTCAGTCTACTTATATAGGTCCCCTTCGGGAGCGGCGGGGGCCCGCCCATGGGCCCGACCACCACCTCGACTTCGTCTAGCAATGTGGACTTCACTTCGCCATACTGCGACTTTGAGAACATTGTCATGCTTAAGGTTCGTACACATTGGATAACCTGTAGCACGTTGAAAATTCCAACTGTTGCGAGGTCTTCAATTATTTTATCCTGAAATATACACGTAATCCTCGCATCAGATGTTTGGCATAACGAAACTGATGAAAGGACCTACCTACCTCTAATGATTAGGGGTAGGTCCAGCCAACTGGCTATTCGTTTTATAATTGCCTCTAAACGCACCTTCACAATTTATTGAGTCTGGAGAACACGAGAGCAGGTGCATTGTCAACGGCATTTCTGCTGCCGTGATCCGTTACGTAATGTCTTCATGTATCAGAAATTGGACCACATTTTTTAATGCCAAGGACGCGGGACAGATTACTGCCAATTCTCCAGTTACATACCGGACCGTGTTGAACGTGTTTCGATATGCAGTAGTGTTTACCTCATGAACCAGTATGAAATGCAACTTCGGAGAATGCATCTTGCATAATGTGATACGTCGGTTAACTCAGAATCCGTGCAGCAGTGAACTTCTTGACATTTACAATGGACCACTCGATGCTGTAACAAGGGCGATGTTACCGGCAGGTATTAAGCGAAAGGTAAATTATAAAATTTTATGTAACTTTCGTATTGTTTATACAGTGCGTGAAGTACGTGATAGAATTATTTTTTCTTTAAATATGGAATTTCATATTTTTCATGTGGCAGCATTGAAGGTAATTTTTATGGGGAATCTTACGAGAAAATTATTTTGAATTTTTATTTTCTACGAATTGGTAATAATCTTTTGGGCTGAGGTATAACGAAGTACGAAACCTTAGAATTTAATGGGGCATATTTTTTTAATTACTCCATTATATTGTCATCATTAAAATTCAATCATGTTACTATGCTGACAATGTCAATTATTAGCAGTTAATGTATATTGATTCCATCTACGATGAATCAATCGAATTTCTGCCGCGATCGAAATTGACCGTCGAGCAATTGTACAGCAATATTGCTTTTGTTGTTCACGCAATACGATTTCCAGTGGCGCAACTATCGTAATATCTTGGAATTTACCTTCTTAAGAAAATCAAAGACTTTCATTCCTTCTGGACACACGAGGTTTCACGCGTTGCACAAAGGTGCGGGAAGTAGCAAGAATTTTTTATACATTTATTTGTTATTGGTCAATTAATAAAATTTTTTCGATAATATTCAAAAATTTTCTCATGGTGAAAATCCAATTTTTTTTTTCAGCAAACTTTCAAGACAACAGAAAATACAATTTTTATGACGATACAGGATGAATTTGATTATAGGACGTAAAGGTCGTTCCACAACGATTTCAACCTTGCGTTCTACATTCTACAAGACACGACGTCACTGACTTATCGGTTTTTCATACTTTTTTAATGGTCTGAATATCATTGATGCTCGTACATAGTTGACAAGGCTAAAATAAGATCATCCTGACGCAACAGGTAAAAGATTTGCTATCTTATAAATAGTTACCACACCTGAAAAAAACATTCTCTATATAAATATGTCTTACGCGATTGGTAACTTTGGATTGATCACTCAAAAAAAAAAAATTGGTGAATGTCGAAACGGTGACCTGGCTGACAAATTTGTTTCCGACTAGTCATTACTGTACAACCTTGCAACTCATCTTTCAGAAAAGAATTTATTAATTTGCCCGAACGTATATTTCATTTCCGTCTTTTTTTTTTTCTACGGATTCTTCCGCATAGCTTTTTATAGCCCCAAGGGTCTCGAAACCTTCGGGATCCTCATTTAATTTCGATCTACGACCATTTAATGTATTCTAAGCAGAGTTAAACTGTCTTAAGGTCACCCAACTAGGACGTATGACATTTATAAAGGTCAGGTCGTTATTTCAAAATCTAATTAATTTTTAGTCGTAAAAATTCTTTTTTTTTTTTGAATTTATATATTTCCATAAAAAATGCCCCTATCGTTCGTTGCTCGAACTTTCTCCTGACCACAGGAAGTTCCAAGAGTGACCGAGGCGTGGAACTGAACGTAATTCCTACTTACCGACAGATGATCATACCGACCGAGATCAGTAACAAAATGAATAATATTTTGAGACAAAAACCGAAAGATTTCGACTCTACGTAAAATAAGCCATGCACTACATGCAAAACATAATTCATATATGTATAAATATATGTTTGCCAAAGGATCATTCCGAGGACCAAATTCATTTATGTATGTAAAAAACGAAAACTAACTTCCCAGACCAATAAATATTAAATTCTATTAGTGTTATAATTAATATTTTTCATTATATTGCGTAAAATGTGTAAAGTTGCTAAATTGGGCATTACAAATCAATAGGAAGCAGTAAAAATATTCCGAGAGAATGTCTGGAGGACATTTTCTAAAAATATAATTTTCTAATAAAATACGGTTTCCTGTACTAAACGCAATTAAATTTTCCTAATTACAATATACGTAATTCCCATTATATTTACGATAGAATATGAAGTGGCTCTTTCAAGATTGCGATTTCCAGTGAATAACGTAATTTCCCCCATAGCATTTCACACGACTGTACCACGATTTTACGACACTATATAATTACCTAACCCCGAGGATATAACAGTCCCATTTTTTCCGCCCCTGTAATTCCATATTTTCTTAGACGCAACATTAATATTACATTTAAACGAGCCATTAGTATCGTCACAAAAATAGAAATCCCAATCAATCAACCGATCGTCGATACTACTTAAGCCCATAGATGGCAACCCTGTAAAAGCTTAAGTTTTTTATAAACTGCCATTTAGCCGCCGGTCTAATTATACTTCATTATGAGATGTTGCGCATAGTTTTGCTGGCGGTGAGGAAGGGTGGGGCTGCATCAATTAAGTTATGGTGTGATAAAAACATAATAGTCACGAGCATACCAGTCTTCCCCCATACCAGTACCACAGGGCGGAATAAACGAAAAAAAAAAAAAAAATTTTTAAAAATAAAAAAAATAAAAAATGAACAGAAAATTGTTTTGATGCTTCGTACCCGTTAGACGAAACGGGTCTGGCGCCATGATTCAATGACGCAATCATCTGATCTCGATGCAATATTGTGCTACATACGTGCGTACGAAGGATGATACGAGCTCAGAAAGAATTCTTGAGTCTTTCGGTATGCATCTATTTATTATTACGCATCGGTGTAGGAGTCAGGGGAACGCTTCTGTACGTTAATTTGAATTCGTGGATATTTACCATATTAGATGTTTTCTCGTGGACCAACGATTACTCGGTGGAAAATGATAACTAATACGATATGTCACGAAGGTAGAACGTAGAGATTGTTTTGATGGCTACAATCCGTTAGGTAGATGAGCCTGGGGCTTGGGCAGGTATAGGAGCCGAGTCTCTGGCGCCATGGAAAGTGACGCAATGCTGGCCAACTGCGCCTCTGCCATTGTGCCTTATAATTTAATCCTCCACTGGAATGGTACTTGGTACGGTATTTGAATTCTGCCAAAGTCACTTGATTTTATCGTTCATTACTTATCAGTGATTCGTACCTGGATGCAGCAAATATCAGTTGGGTCTGTATATCCTGTATAGTATGTTAAATCGAAAAAAGATATATTATACTGAATTGGAAAATAATGAAATTTTTTGTTTTTAATATATATATATTTTTCGATACTTTTAATTACATTGTATATGGGTGTCGGGTAATTGTTGACAGGTTGACAGGTTCCTACGTAAGTCGCGTTTGCAGTGTTTTATAGTCTCAATCAACTGCATTCCCGCGATTGTGTTAATTACGCGGGCTATTAATCAATCTGACAAGCTTGAGGTATTTTAATATCTTACCAACGGCGCTCATGTAAATATTTAAACCGCGCTATGCACACTGCGGATCAGCATTCTTGGTAACCTTGTGAATCATCGATCCCTTGGTAGTAAACGAAAAATTTCGTGTTTATCCCAAAAAAAAAAATTGAGTGATAAAAATTTTTGAAAATTTTTTTTTATATTTTTACTTCGAACCGGGATACGTAAAATCTTTGCGTTACACGATATCACGGAACGTCGTAGAAATATTTTCAACCAGTCCATCACTGTGTCATCGTGTCGTGATGAGAATTTCGATATGCGCGGTCTTGGTTGGTCAATTACATTATTTGGAGATCCGTTAAGTTATCGATCGTACTTCAATATGCTTGAGTCAAGATCATCGAATCTTGCTGATCACTCTTGGAATGTACATTCCACGATTGGGCACACGACAGGTCCAACCGATGCATTCCGTATACCGAATGCCCGTTACATTCCTTTGGCTGCAGGAAGATATACATTCGCGTACGATTTCATGGCATACCGAACGAATATTTTTACGTTACCGATCGATTAATCGATTTGTATCGATCTTCGACTGCGAATGCATTTCTTTGATACAAAGTCTTAGATATCGGTTGTATCGTTTAAATTGCAGTAAAGTACGAAGCCCAATCATGGGTTGTCTCTCTTGGCCGAGGAATGAAAAACGATCGTGATTGGTAACCGGTTGAATTTTACTCTAATTATTTCGTGGCGTATATTACAATTGAAAGGCAATTATTCTATAGTTGCATTGAGTATCGACTTACTGAGCTTGTAATTAAGTTGCAGCTGCAATTGAATGCACGGGATATAAATAATTGTTACTTTCTTCGATTTGCGACCAATAAATCATACCCTTATAGGATTCGATACCCAGTTGAACTGGATGGACCCGCTGGAACCGAGTTCGCGATGAGATTAATTGGTAATCAAATGAGATCTGTTATAAGATCCGATAAAAAATCTCGGATCGATAATGGAAAATGATTTTTTCCAATATTTTTTTTTTTTTTTTTTTAGTTAAATCGATATTATATACTGTGTAATTTTTAAATATAATTTTGAATTTTTATAATTTTAACGTTTAGGTGCTTTATTCGATTTCGATATTTCACAAT